TCTTCAGCGCGCCTTATGTGCTGCCACCTGGTGGCCAAATTTGGGAATAACATCTGAGCCCTTTTTTCAGAGATGTCACTGGAGACAAGTAGAGAGATGGTCTTGGGTCTTGGGGTGGGAGGATGCAGATCCTGGCTAGACACCTGGGGCCTCAGGAGCTTCCCTATGAAGATGCCCTCTCCCAGGGACTCACATTCATTCAGTCATTCAGTCATTCATTTGAGGGATATAGGACACCCACTCAGTGCTGAGGCTCCAGTGAGAGGGCAAGACTCATGCAGTGTCTGCCCTCACAGCATTTCCATTACAGATGGGAAGCATGGAAAATCTGGATAAAGAGATGGTGCAGTGAATGCTACTGTGAAGAAAACACAGCGGGTACCAGGATGGGAAGTGTGTCTGGTGTAAGGAGGTTGCTGGGGCAGGCCTCAGGAGGTAGCATTGGAGCAAAGATTCCAGAGAGCAGAAACCAGCAGGTGCCATTGCAAAGGCCCTAAGGTGATGTTCCAGTGGCTGTTGCTAGGTAATGAACTGCCCTAAAATTTAGCAGGTTAAGGCAACCATTTAAATTTTGCTTACAAGTTTGTGGATCAGGAATGAGGGAAAGGGCTTGACTGAGTGCTTCTCATGGGAGTCTCAGGCTGCCGCAGTCAGATGTCGGCTGGCCCTGTATCACTGGGAGGCTCACCCAGGTCAAGTGTCCTGCTGACTCACGCTGGCCGGGGAGCTCTGCTGGGCAGTGATCTGAGGATCCCCTCAGGGCACCCTTCATCCTGGGGGTTTTGTGGGGCACCCTCCAGCCTGGGGACCTCCTAGGGTACCCTCCGGCCTGGGGCCCCATGTGCTTGGACTGTTCCCATGGAGCCTGGCTGTGTGGCCATTTTCTGACCTGGCCTGGGGCTGCCTTTTACACGAAAATCGTTGAGGCAGGACCAGACTCAGGAGTGGGGCCACGCCCCCCAGCAGTGCCCAGGAATTTTCAGGCATGTTTTAGAACCACCATGGCTTGTCCCAGGAGCAAAAGGGAGGCTCTGGAGTGGGCGAGAGTGGATGGGTGAAGTCAGACAGGCAGACAGGGAGTCCAGATCCCAAGGGTGGGTTTTTCTAAGCACGGAGGAAAGCCATCCATGAAGAACTGCTGAATCACAGGTGCCACCTCTGCTGCTCTGTGGAAGGCAGGGAAGAGGTAGGGACCAGGAGAGGAGACAGAACTGTCTCTGGGAGACATGATGCTTTTTTCATGGAGAAAACCATTAGAAAAATAATACCTCATCTTGTCTGGTTTGTGTTCTGTGTGAGGTGCTATTCTAAACCTTTTGTGTGTGTTATCTCATACGATCCTCAGATGCATTCCAGGAAGTACATAAAAGACTTTGATTTTACAGATGAGGAAACTGAGGCACCAAGAGGCTCAGTAACTTACCCAAGGACACAGCTAAGGAGTGGTGTAGCCAGGGTTGTTTGAAGCAGGCAGCCTGCCATTTTTAACTTCTGTGAGATATTCATTATTATTAATATTTTGGGGGGGCTATGGAGTCTCGCTCCTTCAACCAGGCTGGAGTGAAATGGCTTTGTCTCAGCTCACTGCAACCTCCGCCTCCTGGGTTCAAGCGATTCTCCTGCCTCAGCCTCTCCAAGTTGGGATTACAGGCACCCACCACCATGCCCAGATAATTTTGTATTTTTAGTAGAGATGGGGTCTGGGAAGTAGAAAAATTCCTTTTTAAAGTTACCTATCTTGTTAAAGAATAAGTGTGCTAATAACTTTGTTAAGCCCTATCCTATGTAGCTGTTAGACATGCCATGCTTACCAGCATGTAGTACATTCTATGTCCTTGTACCTTAACCAAAATATCTGTGCTAGACATGCTCACAGACATGTCCCAGCTCTCCATTGCTTTTACCTGTTTAGAAAAGTTTTAAGTTGTTAGCCAGCGGGGTTTTAGTTTAGATTGTGAGGTCTGACTCCAGCCAATGGAGATCAGACACAGCAGTAAGGACAACCCCAGATGCGTAAGGAATAAATTTGTGTGTTTTCCTTTGTTCGTTGTACTTTTGTGGCACGATGGCTAGTGAGGGTACCCTTCCTGCAGTTCAGGAAGTAAAAATTGCATTGCTGAAACATCCTTTATCTCAGTGCTGATTCTTTCTTTGTGGCGCTGAGCATCTATTTCCAACATCTGTTTCCAACATGGGGTTTCACCATGCTGGCCAGGCTGGTCTCAGACTCTTGACCTCAGGTGAGCCACCCACCTCGACCTCCCAAAGTGCTAGGATTACAGGCATGAGCCACTGCGCCCAGCCAAGATCTATATACTTCTACATAGTTTGGCAATGTTTGTTTGTTTTTAATTAAACTATTTGGGATCACTAGGTTTGTGTGCAGTTGCAAGGAGGAAAGATTCCGTTTCTCCTTTGCCCAGTGTCCCCCAGTGCTAGAATCTTGCAGAGCCACAGTGCAGGTAGCCCAGTTGGGATAGGGCATGGAGCCATCCACACGACTTTTGTACAGTGTTCGCCTTTCCACAAATTGGTTGCAGACGTTTAAAACTCAGCAGATGTCAGAAAACCTGCTGGATTTCTGGCTGCTCTTGAGCCGTGAGATGAGGGGCCTCCTGTGCAGCGCACCCTGAGACTAGGTCTCAGTGCAGTTTGCTGAGGGTCTGTCTGTTGCGGGGTGCAAGGTGAGCTGGGGAGGGGAAGCAGCTGACCAAGGTACACTCTCCCCACCCTGAGGGGAAGGGGACCTGGGGTTCTTAGGGGCTGCTCCCTGGGCAGGTGGGGAGAGGCTGCTAATTCCCCAGCCCTTCCAGCTGCCCTCTGAGTGGGAAGAGTAGACTCAGGGTCACCAGAAGACGCCCTTGAGAAGACAGCTGAAGGTGCTGGCCGCTGGCGTCCAGGTCATGCAACTTCTTCTGTCTTGTGCACTCTGTTCCTAGGACCTGCAATGGTGCCTGGCATGAGAAGGATTGAGTGGGGGATGCTTAAGCCTGGGCGCCTTTCTACATGTCTGCCCCAGGTGGCCCAGGCTGGTGAGGAGCAGAGATGCAGCAGGCCCAATGTGAGAACAAACCTTTTCCTCCTTCATTCACACAGCACGCTGAGCCCCAGTCACCAAGTGCATGTGGGCTTTTCCAGCACCTAGCTCTCCAGCTGTGTGTTCTCTCTAGCTGGGTGTCCCAGTCACCTCAACTCTGACACCACCTGCCGGGGATGGCATGAGATCCCACAGGTTGAGGGCTCAGTCCCACAAGACCGCACCCCCACTTCAGATGCTGCAAGCACGGGTTATGGTCTGTGCTTCAGATCAACTGGCTATAAACCGAGGTTTTCAGCGTTCTTTTAACTTGCTAGTGTGGATCAGAAAACTCAGGGAAACACTTTATTATTGATGTGTACCAGTTTCTAACAAAGGATAGTACAAAGAATACAGATGAACAGCCAGATGGAGGAGATGCCCCAGGCGAGGTGTGAGGAAGGGGCACAGAGCTTCCGTGCCTTCTCTGGGTGTGCCCTTGGGAACCTGCCTGTGCCCAGCTGTTGGGAAGCTCTTCTGAACCCTGTCCTTTTGGGGTTTTTGTGGAGGCTTCATGACCTACACGATTGACTAAATCATTGGCCTTTGGTGATCAACTCAACCTTCAGCTTCTCTCTCCTCCCCAAAGTCAGGAGGATGCTGAAAGTTCCAACCCTCTAATAACAGGTCGGTTCCCTTGCCAACCAGCCCCCATCCCGAGGATATCAGGGATCTGCCAAGAGTCCTCTCAGTAGAACAAAAGAGCTCTGCTCCTGTCACCAAGGAAATTCCAACAGATTTAGGAGCTCCATGTCAGGAACCAGAGTTCAAAAACCAAATGTTAGAACAAAAGATTCTCCTAGAGTTTCTATCTACCAGGGCCCTAGGAGCTTTGTGTCAGGAACAGGAAAGAGACCAAAAACTGTTTCTTATTCTATCACAGTCTCACATCGCCCCATTAAGGGTGCCCTCCCTGTGCCGCAAAAGGGCCAGCGTGGATGGGAGGGTGCTAGAGCCAGACCTCTGGGCCCTCAGGGCTCCAATCCGAGCTCTTCCCGTGACTGGCTGTGTAACCTTGAGCAAGTCCCATCCCCCTCTCCACCTGTTTCCTCATCCATAAAATGGGGCAACGAACCCCTCAGGGCTGACTCACAGGATGCTCTCTGAGGAGCGAGCGCTGAGAGGCAGCTGGGCATCCACGTGCAGGCCCTGTACTGGGGCTTGCCTAACCATGCTCTGCCCCTTACTGCTGAGTGGCCCAGTGCCACCCACTTGTGTAGATAGGACACAGCCGAAGGGACAGGGCTGGTCAGGCTCTGAGCTGGATACACCCAGGTGGGTCACCTCCCCGGGACTGCTAGAATTCAGTTGCCGCCACTTCTTGGTTGTGTGAGTGAGACCTGGGCCTCAGTTTCCCCATCAGTAGTGTAGGGCTCATGAAGAATGCTTTCTGGCAGAGTTGTTAACATATTTGGGGATGACAGTCATCCCTCAGGCAGGTCCTTTGAAAAGAGCTTTGGGAGAGGGTGGAGCGGTATGCCCTCCTCAGCTCCTGCTGGGGTCACACTGTTCCTGTCACCCAGCCCCCAGTGGGAGGTAGCAGGAGGAGAGGGTGTCTGCACTCTGTGCCCGGCCCAGTATCACACGGCTCCCCAGCTCCCATCGTCGAGATGCAGATCCCCACATGGAGTGTTTGGTTGGTGTGGTGCCCCCGAGGGCTGCCACAGCACACCCCAGCATTAGAGCCCCACCCACCCCCTAAAACTCCTCAGACAGCACAGCCCTCCTGGAAGGGAAAAGGGCCCAGCCCTGCTCCCCAGAGCACTGCCCTCTGCAGAGCACTGCCTTCCCCTGGTCAGCAGTGCAGGCGGCTCGCCTGAGGCCAGTGACCCTTGGACCTGCACATGGCTCCCTGCACAGGCCTGGCGCCCAATGAGGGGTGGGAGGAGTGGCACTGGGGCTGGAGGTCCCCCCCACTGGGCCCTATCTGCCCAGTCTCTTTCTGGCCTCCCCACAGTGCTGGCCTCTGCCTCCATCTCAGCCACACATGTCTAGCCTCCAGGCTCTGTGCTCTGGCCTGCCCCTGCGGCCCCTCCCAAAGAACCGAGGACGCCAGGCTGGGGTGCCCCATGCCCCAGTCAGGACCCCTGGCCTCAGCCCTGCAGAGAAGCAGGTAAGCAGTGGGTCCGTGCTCCTGAGGCCTTGGCCTCTAGACGTCCTCCAGGTGTTCCACGGCGAGCACCCCGGCTTCCTGCCCTCTCAGTGGGAGCTCCTCAGCCATCCACCCTGGCCTCCAGGGACTCCAACTGGTGGGGTGCAGTGGGTGGCGGGCTCTGTCTCTTGTGTGCAGCCACCCCTGGGTGCAGGATCGCCATGCCTGTTTACAGGTGAGGATCCTGACGCTCAGGGTCGGTGGCCGGTCAGTGGTGGCACTGCGGTCACCTCCAGTGGGAGGAGGCCCTGGGTGGGTGTGAAGTGTTACACCCGGCACCGGGTCCACCCCAACATGCAGAACATTTGCACAAAGGTCAGCTCTTGTTTTCATTTGAAATTGTTCCTTCCCCACACCTCTGGAGAACTTTAGGCTGTGTGGCTGAACACTGTGGCTGGCAGGCGGGTGCTGGGGCGAGGTGGGCTGAGGCTGGCGTCCCCTCACCCAATGGCCAGGCAGGCCAGGGATGGTGCACACTTGCTGGCAGTGCCCAGTCTGGGAACCTGCCTTTTGTCATTTGTAAGCTTGAGATGAAAATCGTGACCCAGGGGTCATGGAGAGAGTAAATGACATAAAGTGGGTGACACGGTTATATAGACTTTCCTCCTTTTCTGTACTGGAAACTATTCAAGAATTTCAGAAACACTAGAGAAATGGAAACTGCAAACAGGCATAAAGATTAAAAGAGGAATCCTACCTCCCAGATAGAGATGGCTGCCCTGTGCACCAGAGCCCCCTGGCCTTTCCCAAGCCACCCACAGAGGCCTAACAGGATGCAGTGGGGACAGTGGGGGTCGCTCAGGGCAGAGCCGGTGCTGGGGAAAGGGGAAGCAGGTTGTGGGAGTGGGGTGGAGGGGAGTTGGGGGGCTAGGAGTATGCTGGGGGTCCTTGTGGGAGTAGGGCGCTGGGGGCAGGTGGAGCTGGTGTTGGAGGGAAAAGGAAATGGAGGAGAAGCCAGCAGGATAGTAGGGTAGGTGATGAGTGCCAGGAAACAAGGGGAGGGGAGGTGGTGGGGGCTGAGGGGTGGAGGGAAAGTAGGTGGTGGGGGCTGAGATGATGTGGGGGTGGGTAGGTGGTAGGTGCTGGGGGGCAGGAGTAGGGTAGATGGCAGGCACTGGGGGATGGGGGGGTAGGTGGTGAGCATTGAGGGTGGGGAGGATAGGTGTCGGGTGTTGGAAGTGGAGGGAGGGTAGGTGGTGGGCACTGGGGGGTGGGGGGAGGGTAGGTGTTGGGTACTGGGGTGAGAGAGGGTAGGTGGTGGGCATTGGGGGTGGGGAGGGTAGGTGGTGGGCATTGGGGTGGGGGAGGATAGGTGTTGGATGGTACAGGATAGGTGGTGGGCATTGGGGGTGGAGAGGGTAGGTGTTGGGCACTTAGGGGGCAGGGGAGGGTAGGTGGTGGGTGCTGGGGGTTGGGGGGAGGGTAGATGGTAGGTATTAGGGGGTGGGGGAGGGTAGGTGTTGGGTGGTGGGGACGGGGGAGGGTAGGTGGTGGGTGCTGGAAAGGGGGTGGGTAGGTTTCAGGTACTTGGCGGCAGATTGCAAGCCGGTGATCCAGTCCCTTTTCCCCTCCCCTTGGCCCATCTCCACGGTTGTCCAGGTGGTGTTAATGTTTCTTCCCCCTTGATCACCTCCCTGCTGGGTGCCCGTGCCTAGACCTTCACCCCAGAGCACAGGGAGGGCCCTGCCACCTGTACATCCCCTGTGACGCGCTATGGCTGTGTTCAGCTCCCGGGGTGTCTTGTGCTGGGAGGAGAAGGCACCTCCAGGTGGAGGCGTGGCCACCTGGGTTTTGCTGGGGTGTGTCCCCCTTTGCTGGAGGGTCCGGGCGTCCTGGAGCAGGAGTGGGTGCGGAGCTGCCTCTCCTTCATGGGCAGGCCCTGAGTCCCGCGGCTTGCTTTCTATTTTTTATTTAAATGTGTTTTGTTGATCTTTAACCTGGGTATTTGAAGATAATTTTTGAGATAAGAAGTCGAATGTATAAAGGTGTAAGTTCCTCAGTTCACCTTCCAGAGTTGCCATGGCTTTATTTTTTTTTTGGCATTTGTAAGCTGAAGATGAAACTGATGACAGCAGGGGAATCCCAAATGAAGTAAAGTAGGCCACACGGTTATATAGACTTTCCTCCCACTTTTTCTTTACTGAAGACTACTCAAGAGTTTCAGAAACACACTCTATGCATCTGTGGGGTGCAGAAGACATCTGTGATCCTTCTTAAAAATACACAGGAAAGCACCTATGCGACGGTTTTTTCCAGATTGTTCCTTCTTGTGCCTTTAGAGTGCCCTGTCTTCAAATGGCTGCATAGTGTTTCATTATTTGGATGAACTAACGTGCACATCATTCTTTGCTGGTGTTTAACAGAACTCTCTCTGTGACTAGAGCGGGGCCTTCCTTTGCCAAGTTAATCAGGACACTCTCAGCATGCGCCTGACACAGCTCTCACCGTGCACAGGGAGACTTCAGTCACACGACAGCATCAGTTCCCCCATTAGAAATGTCTTCAGTACCTCCCCCATGTGCAGTTTATCCTAGTGACCCTTTTTCCCAAATCCACCCCACCCAAGTGCCTGTGCTGGGCACCCAACAGCAGATCTGAAGATGGCTGCGCATCTGTGTCCCTGTCACTACCAATGTCCTCCTCTCCTGAACTTCTTGAGGGCAGCGGTTCATTTTGGGGTCTCCACCGGGTTCATTTTGGGATCTCCAGTGACAGCAGCAGATGTTTGCTGGATGAATAAGAGTCGCCCTAAGAGCCCTAACTAACATCCCATAAGATTTCAGCCGAAGGAGGAACCTGAGAGGACTTCTTGGAAGAGGCGGCTATGGCAACTTGGGTAGGGTTCTTAGCCTGGGAAAGGAGAAATGCCCAAGAGTTTGGAGACAAGGGGAGGCAGTGTGCAGAGATGTGGAGACGGGTCTGTCTGAGGTGTGTCAGGATGGAGGAGGTTCCGTGTGGACCAGGGCTTGGTGTTGAGCTTGGAGAGCCAGACCCAGCTGGCTGATGGAGGACCCTGAATGTCAGGAGCAGCATGGCCTTATCAGACGGGTAATAGGGAGCCCATGAAGGTTTCTGAATAGGGGCATGCCTGCTGTTTAACAACACCCCTGCCCCAGAGTATAAAGGCTTCTAAGGAGGTTCCAGAGGGGTGAGGTGGGCAGAGGCCTGGCTGGAAGAAGGGATGGGCAGCATGGAGGCCCACAAGTGTGGGAGATGACAGCTTTGACAGCTGGGCACTCACACGTACTTATGTGTGCCTGGGGCTGTTCTAAGTACCTCAACTTATTGAGTCCCCAGGGCAGCCCTCCAAGGTGGGTACTGTTATTATGCCCACTTTACAGATGGGGAAGGGGCAGTCAGAGAGGGGGAGTGTGTGTGTGCCATGTGGCAGGCTTGTGTCACAGCAGCCTGACAGCCACTGCAGCCCGTGCAAGCCAGAGTGCTGCCCGCACTCAGGAAGTCTGGCTGCAGCTCCTGGCTCTCAACGCAGCCTCGGCCTAGACCCTGATGAAGGCTGGGCTGGAGGGATGCAGGGACAGGGGTGACTCAAACAAAGCCAAGCCATTTGGATAATGGCCATCATTTCTGGCAGAAATAGTGGCAGTCAGAAACTTTCAGGTGGGTGACGTTTAAAAGTGTGCTACTGCCCCACAAGCTGACTGCCAGGTTAGAATGAAAGTAAGTCCTAGGCTGAACACACACACACACACACACACACACACACACACACACACACCCTCATCTGTGGGCTGAACAACGTTACAGGCTGGCATCTTTTCATTTTGGTGCTCAGCCACCGTGCAGGACAGGCATGTGCCTGGCACAGGTGCCCTGATGCCTGAGGCAATGTTCTGTTACTGCCTGTATTAGCTTCCCACGTCTACTGTAATAAATCGCCACAAGTGCAGTGGCTTAAAACAACCCTTGTTTATTCTTCTGCAGTTCCAGAAGTCAGAAATCTGAAGCAGGTGTCACTGGGCTGCAATCAAGAAATGGTGAAAGTGCAATGATATTAAATCATGCTTTTCTTTGCTTTCTTAGTGTGTCTTGTAAACCTCATTTTTTGGCACAAATATTACATATCAGATTATCCTGGTTTACCTTTACATGTTGCAACAGTTCATTTATATATATACACATATATATGTATATATATATATACACATATATATGTATATATATATACATACATATATATGTACATATATATACACATATGTGTATAATATGTGTATATATATATACATATGTGTGTGTGTGTGTGTGTGTGTGTGTGTGTGTGTGTATTTAAACACTTTAGAGACAGGATCTAGCTTTGTCCAGGCTGGAGTGCAGCAGTGTGATCGTAGGTCACTGGAACCTCAAATGCCTGGGCTCAAGCCATCCTCCTACCTCAGCCTCTTGAGTAGCTGGGACCACAGGCATATGCACCATGCCTGGCTATTTTTTAATTTTTTTGTAGAGATGGGGGTCTCTTGATGTTGCTCAGGCTGGTCTGAAACTCCTGGCCTCAACTGATCCTCCTACCTTGGTCTCCCAGAGTGCTGGGATTACAGGCAGGAGCCACCGTGCCTGGCCTTATATTTTTCATAGCATAAACATATAAAAATCCTGGCAGGGCCGTGCTGTTTCTGGAGGGAACTGCATGCAGTCAGTGCAGCATTGCCCACTGTTCCATGGTCATCGGGAAGCAGTGGGCCCCATCACACCACGCAGCCCTTCTTGAGAACAGTGGGCAATGCTCAACCTGAGACTCCTCCTCTGCTGAAGTTGCCAGGGTAGGCGGAGGCACTGGGCGGCCCTTCAGGTCATCCACAGGCCTGTTGCAGGGCCTTGGGCAGGTCATGTGACCTGTGTGAGCCCCATCATCTAGTTTTAATGCTGAGAGCTGCCGCTAGTCAGAGGTGTGGAGGATTAAATCCAGGCCAGTGAGAGTGAGCCTTCCTTTCCCACTTAAAGAATATTTATCGCAGGCCTATTAGGTAACTCTAGACACAGGATGAAGTATTAAGCCAAAATATATGACAACTTTTGTGAACTAAATAAAACCGTGAAATTGCAGATAAAAAGATATAGTTTATCCTGGAAAGAAAAAAAACCCTTGATATAAAATAATCGACATTAAGACATATCTAGGCTAAATTACTGAATTTCAGCAATAAGGAAAAATTCAATGTTTAGCAGATGGAAATTTTATACAAGAGGAAAATGTGGCAAACAGAGCTTTGGGGCTGTATTTAGGCTTTGGAAAAGTTGCCAGAATGTCCTTTGCTGAGGGCACAAGTTTGTGCTTCATTTCAGAACAGATTGAGCTTCTTACATGTTTCGCTTTTAAGAATGGCTGATTCACTTCCATCAACTGACACCATTTTAAATGCACTAATTTTCACAGAACGTGTGTTGTACTTTTTGTGCTGTGTAATTACCTGAACAATGTTTCTAATGCAGTTGACACAACTGATTATGCAAGAGGTCCTCCTCGTGCAGCACATTGGTAAAACATCCCGTCAAGCCCCAGGGCTGTGTCTGGCACTGCCTTTAGAGCAGTGAGGACAGTGGCCTCAGACTGCAACTACCGCCTACCAGCAGGCTGTGAAACCAGTTTAGGGGATGCGAGCAGTATTGATTTGAAAGTGAAATGAAAGGAGCTAGAGAGGATGGATGTATTAGAACCCACATAGGAAAGCTGAGATTTGTTCCACGGAGTAGGGATGTGTGTATCTGGGCAGCCATAGCAGTTGATTCCTGTGGCTCATGATCAAGAGTTCATGTGTGTGTGTAAATACATGTTGTTTTTGACAGCTTTTTCTTGTATGCACCTGCACAGGGTACTTAAGGCTTTGCTGGGTCTACTCTCCCCACTGGAGCCTCTGCATCCTGCACCATAGCCACAAGCCTCAGGCAGGCCCCTTTCTGATCCCTCCCTGGGGTAAGCAGTGCCATCCTCAGAACAGATGCTTCACCCTAAGCAAGAAGAGAGAGGGATCAGTCTGCCTTCATGAAAGGGGCAGGAGGGGGCAATCAGGGAAGGCTTTCTGTAGGAGGTGACACTGTAGATGGGCCTGGGGAGAGAACCAGGCAGTCTCTAGGTGGGCAACAGGCTTCTGAGTGGAGCAGAGACAAACCCATGTGGGAGGAGGATGGCCCATTACGGGGCCTCAGAACACCCAGCCCGGAGCTCCAGCCCCCATCATCTCTTCACTCTCCTCCCACAGCTGGCACTGAGGAACGCCCTGCGCTACTTCCCCCCAGATGTCCAGAACATGCTGGCCCCAGAATTTGCCCAGGAGCTGCAACTGTATGGGCACATCTACATGTACCGGTTTTGCCCTGACATTGAAATGAGGTCAGCCTTGTGGGCACAGCTTCAAAGGGACCCAGAGGGGCAGGCAGCTCCTGCAAGGGAACATGGGGGAGTCAGTAGTGTGGGGGAAACCCAGTCTGTCCAGACTAGGAGGCAGGGGAGAGAAGATTCTGTGTCGTCACCTCGGGAGCTGGAGCCAAACGCTGGCTGCAGCCCCTGAGCCTGGCCAGAAGACGGGGGCAGCTTCTCAGGTCTCTCAGACCTGGCCCATCTGTCCTGTGCAGCCAGTCCTATGCAATTCAGGAGCCAAATTGTATACAAAACCCCTTTCAAAAACTAGGGCTTGTCGTTCTGCCAGAGGGTAGGGAGATCTTTAGGGAGCTCTGGCAGTGACTTCACATACCCCACGATCTCGATGAGGGTCTTAAGCCACACTGTGCACAGCATCCCTGGAGGCCTTGTGGTAACGTGGTCTGCCAGGCCTCACCCCAGGTTCAGACCCAGCAGTTCTGGAGTAGGGCTTTGAGTCTGCATTTCTGCACTTGATTGTTCTCGAAGGTGCCAGTGGCCCAGGCTTGCCTTGAGACATCCCAGGGAACGCTGTTCCCTTTAAAGTAGGAGCCATGTTCCTCACTCCAGCCAGTACCTCTGGTCCTGGCACCTGCTGGAGAAGTGGTGCCCAAAAGTGTTTGTTGAGTGAATGAAGAAACAAATGAATAAATTTATCTTACCCAGAGGGAGAGGCTTCTGGAGAGCAGCCGTCAGTTCCGCTTTGCCAGCAGCTATCTCCCAGGTGGACCATGTGAAGTGGGGAGGCAGGGTAGTTGGGGAGGGGCCTGAATGCCCCCTCCCTGGAAGCTTAAGAACTTCAGCTAAATAAGCAGCACAGAGTTGGCCCTAGTGGTGCTGGAGGCCCCACTGTACGCTCCTGCAAACCCTGGGTCTGGCTGTCCTTGCCTGTTCGGCCAGGGGCTGGGTGGGGCGGGGCTGGATGCTGCACTTTGGCAGGAAGGGCAGCCTGGCGGCTGGGCTTTGCATTGCAGGGCCTACCCGGTTGAGCAGTACCCCTGCCGGACAAAAGCGGCTGCCGCCATCATGCACATGATCATGAACAACCTGGACCCTGCCGTAGCCCAGGTAATAGCCAGGGAAACTGAATGCCAGCACTGCCCAGCAGAAACAGAATGTGAGACACACATGTCATGCTTTCACGCTTTTAATTTTGAGATAGTTATAGACACAGGCAGTTGTGAAGCTAGTAAGAGAGGTCCCTGGTCCTTCCCTCAGCTTCCCCCAGTGGTTGCATTCGTGGCTGTAGTGCAGCCTCAAAACCAGGACGTCACCGTGGCTGCAGTGGACACACATGTAATTTAAAAAATTACATGAAGGCCGGGCGCGGTGGCTCACACCTGTAATCCCAGCACTTTGGGAAGCTGAGGCGGACGGATCACGAGGTCAAGAGATCGAGACCATCCTGGTCAACATGGTGAAACCCCGTCTCTACTAAACACACAAAACATTAGCTGGGCATGGTGGCGTGTGCCTGTAATCCCAGCTACTCAGGAGGCTGAGGCAGGAAAATTGCCTGAACCCAGGAGGCGGAGGTTGTGGTGAGCCGAGATCGCGCCATTGCACTCCAGCCTGGGTAACGAGCGAAACTCCGTCTCAAAAAAAAAAAAAAAAAAAATTACATGAAAAAGTAAAAATAAACAGATTTACACCATATGTTATTCATGCTGATATATCCAAAATCTATGTTTTTACTGTTTGTTTGTTTGTTTGTTTGTTTAGAGATAGGCTCTCACTCTGTTGCTGCAGTGCAGTGGCTTGATCTTGGCTCACTGCAGCCTCAACCTCCTGGGCTCCAGCGATCCTCCTACCTTAGCCTCCCAGGTAGCTGGGACTACAGGCACCAGCCACCATGCCTGGCTCCAAAATACTATTGTTTTAACGTGTAATCAATGTAAACATTATTAATGAGATATTTTACATTTTTTTCATACTGAGTCTTTGAAACCAGGGATGTATCTATGCAGGGAGCAGAGCTGAAAAGCCACATGTGGCGGGTGGCCACCATATTGGGTGGCATGGATCTGGCCACATGTGCCTGTCATGGGCACCCTGAGCCAGTCTATAGAGCAGCTCCCCATATTTGAGAATGGAATGCCTCTCGGGTGTGTTCCTGCATTTCTTGGGGCAATATGTTACTAGAATGTGACCGCTTCACCTAGTAGGTGGGAAAGCCCTAAACCCTGGCCCTGGCCCCAGACCCTGGTCACACATCAACCCTGCCTTTGAACCCAGGCTGAGTTCCCAGAGTGACCCCAGACCCAGATTCACCCCTAACCCCAAGCCGAGCCCCTGCTCCAGTCGCAGCTGGGGCCCGTGTTCTTGCAGATGTGTCACCCTTCTGGCTTCCCCCCTTGCCCCATTGTGCCTCCAGGGGATGGGGGCCCTTTCTCTCCCTGTCTGTGATTCCATAGGCCCTTCCCGGGCCCTCATCTCAGATGACCCCACGTCTTCCTCAGTTTCCCCAGGAGCTGGTGACCTACGGAGGAAATGGGCAGGTGTTCAGCAACTGGGCTCAGGTACTGCGTACTGTGTGGCCTCGCCCCACCCTGGCCTTTCCCCTAGTCTGGAGCTCTGGCCTAGGATCTTACAAACCCGTGGCTCAGGACACAGGCCTCTGCCTCCCTGGTGCCTGAGGCTCCAGCATTGGAGAGTAGGTGGGGAAGTTTCAGGTTACAGGAATGAGTGAGGTGGTGCTGAGGGAGACACTAGGGCCGGAGTGGAATAGAGACCTGGGGGCCTGCGGGAGCTCTCTGGGTGTGGACAGTGGTGTGGGGCTGGGCGTGGGGTGCTGCTTCCGCTGACAGAGTCCCTATACTCTGCTCTTCCCCAAGTTCTGGCTGACCATGTTCTACTTGTCGAAGATAACAGAGGAGCAGACTTTGGTCATGTACAGCGGGCACCCACTCGGCCTCTTCCCCAGCAGCCGCAGCGCCCCACGGCTCATCATCACCAATGGGATGGTGGGTCCCCATAGCTGACCCAGCTCCTGCCCGGGGCTCCAAAGAGCGTGTGCTGACGCTGGGAGGAGAGCCCAGTGCCCTGACGCTGTCTGTCACCCGCCGCGGATCTGTGCTCACTCTCCAAGCTCTCAGCCCCACTCCCTGCCCCATCCTCTTCTCCAGGTCATTCCCAACTACTCCTCCCGGACGGAGTATGAGAAGCTCTTTGCCTTGGGGGTTACAATGTAAGTCACTATTTCAGTCTATTCAGGCAGTGTTTCCCCAATAGCCATGGGTCATTATAAAGCAAAATGGTGATATTAAATACAAGTCTTGAAAAACACAATCACAGAACTGTAGCACAATTAATTTTATTTTTACATATTCCCTAGTAGTTTTATGTATATGCTTATAAATTTTATATTCTTGAATGCAAGAGAACCTATAATTTTAGATGCTGCCTTTTCCAATATTTCATTATGAACAATTTCAAACATACAGAAAATTGACCGAATTTACAGTGAATGTAAAAAAATTTCTGTGATGAATATGCTACCTACCGTACTCACCTTCTCATGTGGCTATCTGTCCCTCTACCTATCCATCCATTCAACTTGTTTTTTTGATGCATCTCAAAGTCAATTGCAAATATTACTTACTGGAATTAAATATTTGTTTACAGTTTTTTTTTCTTTTGAGGTAAAACTTGCATATAATGAGATGCACACATCTTACATGCACCACATTTTGGGTTCTGACAAAGTATGCATCTGTGCAACTAAAACCCATCAGGCACGGAATGCTGCCATTGCCCCAGAGAGGTCTCTCACACCCCTTCTCAGGAAGTGACAGCTTGTCGTTTGTTATAAAGGTAATACAAACTATTTTTTTTCTTTTTCTTTTTGTTTTTTTAATTGAAATGGAATTTCACTCTTGTTGCCCAGGCTGGAGTGCAATGGTGCAATCTCAGCTCACTGCAACCTCCGCCTACCAGGTTCAAGCAATTCTCCTGCCTCAGCCTCTCAAGTAGTTGGGATTACAGGTGTGTGCCACCATGCCCAGCTAATTTTTTGTATTTTTAGTAGAGATGGGGTTTCACCATGTTGGCCAGGCTGGTCTCAAACTCCTGACCTCAAGTGATCTGCCCACCTCGGCCTCCCAAAGTTCTGGGATTACAGGCATGAGCCACTGCACCCAGCGATGTACACTGTTTCATCAAGCATTATAAATGGAGCTACAATGAAAAGGAGATCTGTCTCACATCCTAGATTCTCCAGTTGACAATGTCTCCTGTGTCCTTCCGAGCACTTTCTATGCATGAGGACTTGGTGATTTAGGTGGTTAGACCGTTCGAGCTGGCCTCTGTGCCTTCCCTTTCCCACCTTCACAAGACAGCTAGGAGATTGTTGCATTTCAAGAAGCAGGTCTCGAGTATTCTTCCTTTACCTGCAGTGTTCAATTGCACTAATTTATTTAACCCTCTTGCTTCTCAATCTGGCTTGCTTCCATGACACAGTGCAAGGCCCTGTTCCTCTCTGATACTAGGTGTTTTATGGGGCACATACGCTGCCACTCATTTCTATTGTCTCCAGTGGAGGGGCATCTCAGCATCTTCAGGTCTTGGCCCCTGCATGTGAAGTTGTTGTGAACATTGTTGTGTGTGTCCTGCCTGGTGTAAACATGTAGCATGGGCGTGCTGCCCATGTTCACCTGGAGTCCATGCAGCCAAATATTCCCCAAAGCGATTCTTCACCAATTACACTACTTTTTTTTTTTTTTTTTTTTGAGACGGAATCTTGCTCTGTCGCCACGCCAGAGTGCAGTGGCTTGATCTCGATTCACTTCAACCTCTGCCTCCCAGGTTCAAGTGATTCTCCTGCCCCAGCCTCCCGAGTAGCTGGGATTACAGGTGCCCACCACCACGCCTGGCTAACTTTTGTATGTTTAGTGGAGATGGATTTTCACCCTGTTGTCCAGGATGGTCTCAATCTCTTGATCTCGTGTTCCACCCACCTTGGCCTCCCAAAGTGCTGGGATTACAGGCACAAGCAACCATGCCCCGCCCTATACTACAGTTTTTAACAAAACAAAGTCTGCTTGTAAATTGTCTGGGAGGCAAGAGGGGACCAGGGTGTTCATAGCCTTCTTGTGTTCTCTCTCTATTTTATGTAAAAGAGAATATATTAATGCCTCTTGTGTAGTTAAATACTAATTTTCAACCTTCTAAAGGGAGTGGCTGGGAGGACCTGGGTCTGGCACTGGCTGAGCCCTGGGTTGGGCTTCTCTCCTTGTGGTCAGGTATGGCCAGATGACAGCAGGTAGCTACTGCTACATTGGTCCCCAGGGAATCGTCCACGGCACTGTGGTGAGAGATGGGGCCATGCCTGGCCATGGGTGTCCCAGCATAGGGGGTGGAGGGGGCAGGCTGGGAGTGGGCAGCGAGCCCCCACCTTTTCTCCCTGCAGCTCACCATGTTGAATGCTGCACGTCGGTACCTGGGCATCGAGGATTTGGCTGGGAAGGTCTTTGTCACCTCTGGGCTCGGTGGAATGAGTGGGGCTCAGGCCAAGGCCGCAGTCATTGTGGGGTGCATTGGCGTGATAGCAGAGGTAAGCTGGGGGGTCCTGGCCTTTGTTCATGCCTGCATCCCTCCCTCCCTCCTTCCTCCAGGAACCCTCACACCACAGACTCCCTCTTCCTCCCTCGCCCAGACTGCCCTCGCCTCCTTCGCAAAGCCTCACTGGACCTCACTGGGTGGGGTCCCATGGCCGCGTAAGCTTCCTGCCTTCAAAGTGTCCATCACCCTGCATGGGCACTGCCTGTTGGCTGCTCTCCCACAAAACTGTGACTGTCTATATGTGGGTATGGCTTTCCTGTATCCCACCACACCCCTGAAATACAGATGGGAGGGAATGAATTGTGTGAATAAATGAACTCATAGACTCCCCATCTTGAACAGGTGGGGAGGCAGACAGGCCATCCTCCATAGAGTGTAGGCAGCTTTTCCTCAGTGACCCCATCTTAGTTCTTTGAGTTTCTATAAAGGAACACCTGAGGCTAATTTATAAAGAAATGAGGTTTATTTGACTCAGTTCTGCAGGTGGTACAGGAAGCATGGCACCCGCATCTGCTTCTAGTGAGACCTCAGGAAGCTTCCACTCCTGATGGAAGGTGAAGGGCGCTGGTGTGTCACACAGTGAGAAAGGGAGAGTGGGGAGAGGAGAGGGGACTGCTGGACCTTTTAAACAACCAGCTCCTGTAGGAACCAGCAGAGCAAGAGCTCAGTCGTTACTGCAAGGACTGCATCAAGCCATTCATGAGGAAGCTGTCCCTGTGACCCAAACACCACCATCAGGCCCCACCTCCAACATTGGGGATCAAATTTCAACATGAGGTTTGGGGGACAAATATGTCCCAACTGTAATAGGCTCTCACATCTTTCTTTGGTGGGTGCTAAGGAAAGGAAGGGAAGTAGGAAGTGGAAGAGGCAAGGAGCCTTGAGGCAAGCCTTGGTGATATGCGCCAGTGCGATTTGTACTCAGTTGATGTCAAACCTGTGCCATACATACCTGTGATTGTTAGGAATGCACTGAGCTGCAGGTAACAGGAAGCCTACCTACAGCGGCTTGTGTCAATAGGGTCTTATTTTTCTCATGTAACCAACAGTGCTGGCATTGGTCTGCAGCTCAATGATGCTAATATCTCTGGATTCCCTTGGGCCTCCTTTGTAGAAATAATTGCTGCCCCCTCCCCAGCCATCCCATCCATGTTCAAGACAGGAAGACCTCTTGAACATGAGAGGGAAGTGTCTGCTACAACTCTATTTCATCAGGAAAATTATGTCTTTAAACCCCCTTCTTTTATCTCATCGGTCAGGCTTGGATGAAATTGATGTTCTTATCTACAAGGGAGGATGGAGATTGTGGACAGGTCCATGTGATTAGCTTGGAGGCAGATCTTCTCCTGGGGCTGAACTGTGTCACCCTGAACCCCACCTGGGTTCTGCTGATAAGGGAGGCGGGAGAAGGAATAAATAGTGGGAGGGCAGCTCGTGGTGTCTGCCCTGAGACTGTGTTATAGAAAAGCGAGGGACCTACAGGGGATGACGCATTCATAGATGAGGATGATACACTTAGGGAACATTTGTAACTGGGTGGTTCCATGTCCCACTGCCCCAGGTGGATAAAGCTGCCCTTGAGAAACGCCACAAGCAGGGCTGGCTGATGGAAGTGACTGACAGCTTGGACCAATGCATCAAGAGGCTCAGGTACAGCTCCAAGCTCGACTCCAGACACCTGACACATGGCAGTGGGAAACCACAAGAGGACCCCTGGGGGGCAGCTTGGTGTGGGCCTGTTTAATGCCTGACAGCTGTCCACACGTGGGCACCACACATACATGCACACACACACACATGCACACAAGGGCTGGCCCGCAGATGGTGATAGGGCAGAAGCCTCTGGAAGGGCCTCCAATATTCTGTTGTTGCCGGTGTGGAGGTGGCCACTGGGCTGCGGGCTTGGTGCTCAGACACTTGGCTCTGATGGGCTTCGGACAGCCTTCTCGGGGCTCCCGTGCTCTGCCCTGGTTCTGCGAGTTGTGTTTTTCTTGCTGTGTGGTCTGGTAGAGCCGGCCCCTGGTAGGGGCTGCCTCGAGCTGTTGCAGTGGCAACTGGCAACCCGGCGAGGCGTGCGCTCCATCCTTGTGCTCCAGGCCAGAGCTTCCCCCATGGAGCTGAGGGGCTGAGGGGCAGTCTGTGGGTTTCTTCTTGCCCTCCCCCTTGCCCCACTTGCCCCGGCGATGTCTTCAGCAGTATTTCAGTGGGACAGTGTGAAGATTGCCCTGGGGACTTCTCCTTGGATGCTGCCTTTGAAGCATCTTCTCAATTTACTGTGCAGAGCGGAGTCCTGTTTGGGGAAGGCATATCGGTGCAGTGGTTCCCCACCTGGCTGCAAGTAGAATCTCCACAGGGGCTTAAAAGCTGTTTTGGATGAAAATGTCAACCAAAAATTTGAGAAATAATGCAGTAAATTATTTCGACCTAGATCATTCTAAAATACCAATCCAACCACATTGCACCCTCTTCAGAACTCTCAGATAACTTTCATCAATGATAGAAGAAACTCCACACTCCAGGTGTGCTGTGAAGGGCTTCCCGACCTAACTCCCATCCCTGTTCAGACTGTTTAGCATCCTGAGTGTGTGCACATACACACACACACACACACACACACGCACACGCACATAAACACAACACACATGCATACATATAACCACACATAAACACATAAACACACATACACACTTAACACACGTGCACATACATACACAGAGGACGCACACACTAACACACACATGCACACATGCTTGAACACAGCACACACATGCACACACTTGCACACACGTGCACGCACATAAACACTCAGACATGTGACACACATACAACACACATAAACATACTGACACAGCCACACAAATACATGACCCACACATAAACACAAACACACAGATACAAACACAGACACACAACACATGCATGCACACACATGCAAACACAGCACACATGCACATACGCACAAACACAGACACACAGACATACATGCACACACAAACATGCATAAACACATAACATGCACACATGAAAATATACACCTAACACATACACATAAACATGCATAAACAACACATACACACACATGCACACACAGCACAATTCACATACATATACACACATAAACACAAATACATAACATACAAACATGAACACATAACACATACATAAACATACAAGCACACATAAACACACACTAGCAACACATAAACATATACACATAACACAACACAAATGCATGCACATAACACACATTCACACACATATACATGCACAAACACACAGACACGACACAGCACAAACACATAAACACACATCAACACCATACACACACACAGACACACGCACATGCCATAAACACACGCAGACCCACACACAAACAACACACATGTACATGCCCACAACAGATATGCTCACACACATACATACACATATGCATATACATACATATACATATATATGTACACATGCATGCACATATATATATACACACATGAACACACACACATACACATACATCAAAATCAGTTTAAGGAATTGCTTCTAGCAACCTGTCTGCCACACTTCCATAGCCCCTGAGCTGGGGAAGACCGATGGGAATGGAGTGAGCTCCTAGGAGCTCACGGTCCCCTCCGGGGTCCTTCAGCTGGGATCGCAACAAGCCCTGGTTTAGACTGGCCTTCCTGCTGCCCTGGGGCTTTGTGTCCTTCCCTACTTCGTCAACCTTTCACCCCTGGGGGAGAGGAAGTGCCTGGCTTCCTCCGGCCTCTCCAGGCCACGCCCAGGGAGCAGTAAATCTGGTCTCTCACGGGGGCCACTCCACCTTCCCTGCATATTGTTGCCTTTTGGTACCTCTACAAACTGCAAGGACTGTTCAAATCTTCTGTTCCCCAAAATGTGCTTTGATTTTTCTTGTCCTATTTTTCTAAATAATTTTGGGAATCATCTTTAGTGAATTCTACAACTCTGGGACCACCTTGGATGGGTTCTGTAAAGATCCCTGTGGAGGTCCCACATCAATAACCCGAATTACATGGATCGCCCAGGCAGAGTTTTGCTGCTTCCATGTTGGTTTTCTGGTCTGGGGTATTTGGGTCTGGGTTTTCCCTTTATAGTTAAGTCAGGATCCTGCAGGCATGCTTCATGGCCCCTGCCATGGGCCTCATGATTGCACACGATACCTCTGGTGGCCTCCTGGGTCTGCCCTGTGTGCAGCTGGGGTGCAGGTGTGTCTGGGACACCTATGCACAGGTGCAGGGGGCCACCTGTTCTGCTCTTGTGTCCTTCCAGGGAGGCACGGAAGAAAAAGGAGGTGCTCAGCCTTGGTTACCATGGCAATGTGGTGGCTCTTTGGTGAGTGGGTGGGGGGTGGGAGTTAATAACCACCTTGGGGACCCAGATGGGCCCACCTGAGCAAAGACCCCAGTGCTAACCAGGAGCTGTGGGACACAAAGCTTTGAGCCTCGGTTCAGCGCCACCCTTGGTGGCCACACCCTTACCCAGGCTCGGGGCGGCTGTCCCTGCCCTGTCCACAGGTTCTCTTTCCACGGGGAAAGCGGGGTCTAGCTGGGGTTGTGCCTGCTGGATTTGTGGTTGGGAAAATGTGCTTTGATCCTCACCTGGCTGGACCCAGACTCTGGGCCCAGACTGTGCGTGGCTTGCACTGACCACCCCATGGCTTCCACAGGGAGCGCCTGGTCCGTGAATTGGACACAACAGGGGAGTGCTTGGTGGACCTGGGGTCAGATCAGACGTCCTGCCACAACCCGTTCAATGGCGGCTACTACCCTGTGCAGCTCAGCTTCACAGAGGCCCAGAGCCTCATGGCCTCCAACCCTGCTGTGTTCAAGGACCTGGTCCAGGAAAGGTGCTACTCGGGGTTGGGGATGGCAGAAGCATTTGGCCTGGGCAGACCACCTTGTCCTGCTCTGGCTGCCACCTGGTTCTCCAGCAACCAGCTATGTGGCCTTGGGCAAGACCTTAACGTCTCTGAGCCTCTGCCTCCACCTGTCAGACCAGGTCATGACACACCTACCTCTTGGCAGTGCAGGGGGACAAGCTGGAGTGACATTTGCTGAATGCCCAGTGCAGTCCAGCATGGCACTGAGTAGATGCTGGGGTGTGAGGCCCTCTCTGGAGCATCTGTTTTTCCCCAGGGCCTGATGGGGTTGGGGACCAGAAAATGTTTGTTTAGGGGCCGCCTGCTGGGTCTTGAAGGGTACAGAGGTTCTAAACAGATGCCAGGGGTGGGGGCATTCCAGGCAGGTGGGGCTGACCCAAGGATCAGGGGCCGTCGAGGCAGCAGTCCAAAGGGAGCACGGTGGGTGGGGCTGCGGGTGCCACATGTAGGGGGCTCCAGAGCTTCGCGTATTGGTGCTGACCCATGGCTTGTTGCAGCCTGAGGAGGCAAGTCTCAGCCATCAACAGGTTGGCAGAAAAGAACTTCTTCTTCTGGGACTATGGCAACGCCTTCCTCTTGGAGGCCCAGAGAGCAGGTAGGAGGGAGGAAGAGGGAGGGGCCACCACCCTGGGCCCAGCCTCTTGGGCCAGCACCCCTGGCTCCCACCTCACTCAGCCACTGGTGGCCCAGCGAGTCCCGACCAAGGCTTTGCTGTGCCTCTGCCAGGCCTTCTGGACACCGGCCCTCCTGGGTGGCTCGGCCTCCCTGGGCCTCAGTTTCTCCACGTGCTTTAGGAACATAAAGTCGCATAAGAAGAGCAGGTTCAAGACTTGGGCACAAGGTCCAGTCCCAAAACTGCAGCTTTCCTTTTTCATGATGGAAAGTTCCTTCTGTAAAATGGGCAGTTCTTTCACGGGGTATGAGATCCAAAAGGCACGGTGTCCATAGTGGGAAGCCCTCCAGCTCTGTGCACCTCCCTGTAGGTGGCAAGCTCTGGCACTGGAGGCTGACGTGGCATCCATGGCAAGCAGATGCACCCTGCGCCCGGCCACACAGATGGTGGCATGCCAGCCACACATGCCTCTGCTTTTCTTTCACATGAAAAAAAGACCTCAAGGGTCCTTCCTCAGCCTCCCACTGGGCCCTGTGTTTAAGTTGCCATCTAGGGTGGCCCTGGGTGTCCCACCTTGGGTGGTGACTGTCCGGGCTCTGCCCACAGGAGCAGATGTGGAGAAGAAAGGCGCCTGCAGGACGGAGTTCCGCTACCCTTCCTACGTGCAGCACATCATGGGGTGAGTGTTGGGCAGCTGCCATGTCTAGTGTGCCCAGTGCCACCCCTGCCCCCTTAAGGGTCTGGGTCCTGGGCATTTAGGTTGGAGAAGCCTCAGCCTCTGACCATCCCTGAGGTCCTGCACTGAGACCTCCACACTTCCCCAAAGTGGCCAGGCTCCGTCCATGGATTTTCCACCACAGGCAGGCAAGTGAGGAGGAAATGCAGACGAGAGATACCTCCTGCAGGACCTCAGTGAGAACAGGGGACTGCAGGGCCCAGAGGCCAAGCCCACTTCCTGGCAAACACCCGCCCCTGAACGGTGCGGAGCTACCATCCCACATCACAGGCCCATGCAGGCAGCCGATGAAGCCCAGCACCTGCTGTGGCTCTGGGAGCTGTGAACCACTCTAGCCCTGGGGGGCAGGTCTGGGGAGGGCCAGCAGCCCAGGACAAGCAGTGGACGAGGACATTAGCCAGAGAGGAGGCTAGGCCGAGCTGAGGAGTCTGGGCTTTCTGCTGTGGGCTGGGAGGGGGCCACACAGCTTTTGGAAGATGTGCCAGTCCTCAGTGTGTGCCACATGGGACCGGAGAGAAATGGAGATGAGAAAGGCAAGTGCCACTCCCCGTCAGGCTCCCTGTGGGGTGCAGAGCACTGGCAGCTGGCACTCCCGAGAGGAAGGGCTGCCCAGGAGGAGGCACCCCCTAGCCTAGCAAGCGCAGGAACCCAGGGAGGGCCCAGATCACAGCATCCTCCCCCCAGGACAGCTCTGCCCTGGAGCCTGGCTCCTGGGAAGGTAAGCTCACCTAGGGCGAGTTCCCCAAGGCCACGACCCCAGGTTGACTCTCCTCTCAATGTGACTGTCACTTTTTGGCGACTGCTTTTCTTGTCATGGATAGTAACAACTGGGGGCATTTCTGTTTGCCCAGATCTCGGCTCCTAGCTCCTAAGGCTAGAGATGGTGCAGCCAGGAGGCAGGGACAGAGGGCTGGGGGAACTGGACACAGAGAGGGGACAGGGAGGACCCTGGAACTTTCTGTCTGATGATGGTTTAGGGGTTCCATGCCCCACTTCTGGACGCCGAGCTGTCCTCACTGGTGTGCTAACACCTGCACCCCTCTCCCCGGCCCAAGCCAGTGGGCCCAGTGTGAGGAGGCATCTGTGCTCGCAGGGACATATTCTCCCAGGGATTTGGGCCTTTCCGCTGGGTCTGCACATCGGGGGACCCCCAGGACCTGGCAGTCACAGACGAACTGGCCACATCTGTGCTGGAGGAAGCCATTGCTGATGGAGGTGATGCCGTTGGTGGGGATGCCCATGGGTGGGTGGTCCTCCAAATCTCCCACCTCCATAGAGACAGGCTTCCATAGCAGGCCCACCTAGCAGCGGATTCTGGGAGGGAACCTGGGTTCAGATGACTTTGTGAGTTTGGTGGGTGCTCAGCTGACAACACAAAGGGACTCAAAGAAACCTGAGTGATTCTCAAAGCTCCTGGTTCCCAAGTGTTGTTCTCAGCTATGAAGACACAGTCCCCACCCACACCAAGCCTCTGCCCTGAGCTCTGCCAGTGAGGACCTCTGGCTGCAAGTGACACAAAGCCCCTCAAAGTGGCTGAAGCAGGACGGTCCAGGGCTAGGGTGGGCAGGCAGCAATGGCTGAGGCCAGGATCGCTGGGCAGCCCTAAGCACACCTGGGTCCCTCTCAGACCCTGCACATGGCTGGGCCAGTTGACAGCAGTGCTTCTAGCTCCTTCTTGCTGCCATCTGTGATGACGCCACCTCCATATGGGCTTCCACTGGCCTTCCACACCCACCAGGTCCACAAGGGTCTCCTCCGCCTCAGGGTCCCCCATGTTCATCCTGGGGTTTGCTGATGCTGAGTATTGGTTCCACCAGAGAGTTGTGTTTTTCCATGTCTACATGGTCTGCCTGTTTTTTAACCCACCTTTGTTCTTGTTGAGTGGGTCTGACGTTGTTGTTTTCTGGTTATTTTATGATGCTTCCTCCATTGTTGCAGTTTTTACCCTGGTCTCTCTGCAGCTTTCCTACAGGTCAGGTGGCCTTTCTGTGTGGGTCACCAGCCACTGCTGTGTGCTTCACACCTCTGGGGCCCATCCCCATCCTGCTGCTGGCCAGGTTCAGTGGGCTGGGCAAGGGCCGGGGTTACACAGACCCAGGGCAGGAGAGCCAGGCAGAGGGGAAACACGGCCACCTGTGCAGGAGGGGCCGGGCAGGGGCACAAGCAGGAGGGCAGGGGAAACAAGGGCCTTCTCCTGGGGGTCTGGCCAGATGCCTCCTGGGCCTCCCTGGTCCGAGAACAGCAGGCAGCTAGTGGGGATGAGCAGCCCTCTGGAAAGAAGCCCTGAGCTGCTGCACCTGCGAGGCTCCTGGTTTAAAGACTCCAGGCCTGGCTGTTTTCCAGCCATGCTGACCCAGCTCCACGTTCCTGCAGTGCACATACTGTGGCATTGCCACCAAGCAGATATTAGTCGATGGCTGTGAAGTCACAGGAGTGAGGGATTTCTATTACCTTCAATTTTAGTATGATTTGAATCTGTGTTAACCACTGGCTCACACAGTTTCTGGAAAATTACCAGTCTGCTTCAGGAGCTGGTCAGGCTGGCTCCCGTGCCTGCTCCCATGCACACACCCTCCATGAGCTTGACTGGCTAGCTCCTGCCCAGGCCAAGTTCATTTCCACTTCAGGGACTTTGCGCAGGCTGTTCCTTCTGCCTGGAATGCTGTTCCCTCAGACCTTCCGGTGGCCAGTTCCTTCCCAGCCTTTAGACTCAGCTTGACAGCCACTTCCTCAGAGAGCCCCCATACTCACCACCCTGGGGGCCACCTCCCCACAGTCTTGTGTTCCTCATGGCCCACAGCGGTCTTTATTCTTGGTGCCTTGCTCAGGGCTGGAGTACAGTGGGCACTGAAGAGCTATTAGTGGAGGGACCGACTACATCAGGCAAGTGCACTTCACTGCGCAGCTGTGGATTAATTCAAGGGGCCATTGGCACTGCCAGTTCCCAAATTCAGGAAGGCAGGGGTGGGGTGGGGTGGGCTCCCTCACCTTGTGTCCTGGCTCAATGGTGGGCTCAGGGCAGGGTCTGTGGTGAGTGGCAGGGCCTGTGCTGAGCAGCCTGCCCGAGGGCAGGTCTGTGCCCCTGCATGGGCTCTGACACTGGCTCTCCTCTCCCCTGCAGTGAAGGCGTCTGTGAAGCTGCAGTACATGGACAACATCCGCTGGATCCGGGAGGCCGCCAGGCACCGGCTGGTGAGTGCCCGGGCCTGGGGGAGGCTGGGCTAGCTGCACTATCAGGAGACTGCTCGGAGGTGTGGGGCTGCGGATGGGTGCTCTGCCTGGCCCACAGCCTCCAGCTTGCCAAGCCCTGAGAGGGTGCACACATCACACCTCATGTGACTATTTGTGCCAGCTCCATGGTGGCCACACTAGGAGGGGAGGCAGCAATTGCCTTGCCCAAGGGGCTGCTGGAGAAAGAAGCCCAGGTGAGGACACGGAGATTTTCGAACCCTTGTGTACTGTTGGTGAAGTGGTGCAGCCACACGAAAAACAGTAAAAAGCTTCCTTAAAAAATCAAAAATAGAATTACCCAATGACCCAGCAATTCCACTTCTAGATGTGTAGCCCAAAGAGTTGAAAGCAAGGACTCAGAGAGATACTTACACACCCACATTCACAGCAGCACTATTCACAATGGCTAAGCTGTGGAAGCCACTCAGGTGTTCACTGATGGAAGAATAGATAAACATTGTGGGCTCACCATGAGACAGAATATGACTCGGCCTCAAACAGAAGGGAGTGCTGAACATGCTACAACGCGGATGAACCTGGACCACACCGTGCTAGGTGAAATAACCCAGTCACGGAAGGGCAAATACTGCATGGTTCCACATCTGTGAGGTCCCCAGAGCAGTCAAATTCAGAGACAGAAAGCAGAATGGCGGGTGTCAGGGGCTGGGGGATACGGAATGGGGAGATGGAGGGGCAATTGGTTTACATTATGAATCAACTTAATACCACTAAACTGTGTACTTAGAAATAGTTAAGATGGTACATTTTATGTAATGCATATTTTGTAATTTAAAAAATTGAGGGGAAAAGTGTCCTGGGCTCTGGGGTAGTGACCAGGGTTGGACAGGTCATTCTTCTGCCTATTAGGCAACAAATAGAGGTGGCCCTGCAGGAGAAAAAGTCTGGGCTCCAGAGCCAGGCTGCCTGGGCCTGCTCCATGCCTTAATCTGCAAAGCGGAGGCGGCGGTGATGTGTTCAGAGCAGGTCCCTGTGGCCCGGCTTGTGCAGGGCTATGTTGTGGGGCTGAGTTGACAGACGTGTCTTGCTTGGTTTCTGCTGGGTGTATGTGCTGGAAAGCACCAGCAGGGAAGGGCAGGTGGGGCTGCCTCACACAGAGTGGCCAGGGAAGGGGTCTGGCATGTGTGTCCAGTTCTACATGCCAAGAGGGTGGCAGCCACATGACAATCGGGTAAGACAGAGGGACCAGTCTGTGCAAGGCTCCATGGTGGCAGCAGGCTGGGTGTACAGAGGACAAAATGGAAAATAAGTGGGCAGTTGAGGCACATGCCTTTGGCCATGGACCACGTCTGAACTAGTGGGTCTTGGCCCAGGAGTCCTAGTGCTGGGAGGGGCCTGCCCCTGTCCTGGGCTGTCTCGTCCATATGCAGTGATTTACATTTGTGTCCAGCCTCAGAGCCCCCCTGCCAACTGCATATCTGTGACAGTGCCAAGTCAGAGATGCCAAGGACAAGACTCGGAGGCTGGAGCTGTGGGTCAGTGCAGAGATGGGGTGGAGAAGAGAGGGGATGGCCTGAGAGGATGCCAGCATGGCTGAGAAGATGCCAGCATGGCGGGAGGTGCCAGAGTCGAGGGTGTGAGGGGTGGACGCCACAGCTAGAGCAGCGAGCAGGGCACATCTGCTTTGACTTAAAGTACCCTGGAGATCGTGTGCCTCCTGAGACTTAATGTTGCTTCCTTTTCTGAATGGTGACTGCAGAAAGTTGCCTTATAAATGTTTTGATTTACTTTCTTTTAATGTACACTCTTGACAAAGTGGGCAATGCTATGTCGGTTCCTCACCAATTTTTTTTTTTTTTTTTTGGATCCAAAAGATTTGAAAATCTCTGCAGTGCTAATTCACACAAGTAGTTTTTCCGAAAAGTATTTGAGGCAGCTGGTGTGAGTAAAATAAGGCTGTTCTCTAGGAACCCATGAGGGAGGAATAAGCAGCTAGACTCATGCGCCCGGCCAAAGCTGAGCTGGCGGCCAGGTGCACAGCTGCCTCTGCGGCCCAGCCCTGCTGCCCTTGGCTCCTGGTTGAGCTCACCAGCAGCTGGGGCAGACACCTGCATCTTCTTTGGAGAAACCAGGGTTTCTCAGCATCAGCGTACTGACATTTGGGGCTGGGTAAATCTTTAATTATGGCAAATTGTACATAAACATAAAATTTACCATGGTAACCATTTTTACCATTTCTGGGTGTGCAGTGCTGTGGCCTTAAGCGCATTCACACTGCTGTGCAGCCATCACCACCACCCATCTCAGAACTTGTTCATCTTCCCAAACCAAAACTCTGCCCCTATTAAACACTAATCCTATTCTACTCCCACAGCCCCTGGCACTCAATGTAAGAACCTCAGAGAAGTGAGATCAGACAGTGTTTGTCCTTTTGTGTCTGACTTATTTTTCTTGTCATGATGTCCTCAGGGTTCATTTATCCATGTTGTAGCATATGTCGGAATTTCCTTCCTTTTAAGGCCGAATCACATTCTACTGGACACCCAGGTCATCTCCACCTCTCGGCTGTTGTCGTGCTGCTGTGAACACGTGTGTGCATGTATCTCTTGAAGTCACTGGGGGCTTCACCATCGTGGGGGCCGTCGTAGGGTGTTTAGCAGCATCCCTACCCATGCTAGCAGCACCCAAAAACATCTACAGTCATTGCCAAATGCCATCCTGCTTGAGGACCGTGGGGCTACACAATAACTCATTTTGTGTGCTGAAGCTTTGTCTCCCTGGGGCAACCAACAGTTACTGTCAGGAGATGCCATTGCTGAGTGGCTGAGTTCCTGGGTGCGGCAGACAGACAGAGGGCTTAAGGCCAACCTCTGGACAGGTGGCTCCACCTCTCTGGGCTGTATCCTCATCTGGAAAATGAAGCTTATGATGAGGATGACAGTGTCTTCCCATAAGACTCATAGCCGAGGGGCTGTGTGGGGTACTTAGAGTGAGGCATGCCCAGTGCAAATTGGCCCTAGGTGGTGGTGATGTCATCACTGTGAGATGGAACAGGAGCAGTGCTCACAATAGGTAAACTCCCTGGAACACAAGTGGCTCAGGGGCTCCAAGGCCCCTCTGGGGATAATCTGGGATTGGGGAAGGTGTCTGGGATCCCAGGCTGCAGTGGACATGGGGGGCCAGTGTAGCTGTCTAGTGGGCTGAATGTGGGGACTCACCTCAGGCCATAGACTTAAGATGTACCATGCACCTCAGGGGTCCTCCTGGACCTTGTGAGAGGCACTCAGGCTGCCAAGGACCATATCCCATGGTGGAAGTGCTGCCTATGTCTCCCTGCACTACTGAGTCCTGGCATTGCTGCCCGTGGCTCAGATGCCTGTCACTCTTCTGTCCAAAGGTGGTGGGCTCCCAGGCAAGGATCCTGTACTCGGACCAGAAGGGCCGCGTGGCCATTGCTGTGGCCATTAACCAGGCCATCGCCCGGGGGAGGATCAAGGTAAGGTGTTCTGTGCTCTGGGGAAAGCATCCCTCCGCCTCTTCCTGCTGCCCTTACTGCCCTGGGACTTCCCGCCTATACCTCAGCTGCACCCCACAGCCTTCTGGGTGGGGAGACCCCGCCGTTGGGCCTTGGCAGCCCAGTACTCAGGAGCAGTGGACCAGCCCCTCCCAGAAGCTTACCTCCCAGGGATGAGGCCCAAATGTCTCCTCTTTAGGGAGACCAGGTTTTGCTGAAGGCTTTGGTCCCTGATATCAACTGGGTAGAAGGGTTCTGCTGGGGAGGTGAGGGTGAGGCGGCCATGAGGGGGAAGGAAGGCCTCAGGGAGCAAGAGCAGTGCTTGCAATAGGTAACCTTCCTGGAGCACAGGTAGCCCAGAGGCTCCAAGGACCCTCTGTGGGTAATCTGCAATTGGGGGAGGTGTCTGGGCACCTGGCTCTGTGTGTCAGGCTCCATCATTGTCCCCTGCTGTGTGACGTTGGGCAGGTCTGGGGCCTTCTCTGAACCTTGTGTCCCTCTTCTGTGGAAAGAGAATAAAAAGCGTGTGTGTGAGGATTGAGTAAGTCTGCTTCCACAAAGTAACTTTACACATCTTTATAGAGCTCCCTTTTCTCAAGCAACGGCAAATGTCCCTAGCTTTTGCTAATTTTGCTCCGAATCAGCCAGACCCGCCCTGAGGACGGAACCCTGGGCGTGTTCGCTCCCAGAGGCTCTGGCTCCTTCTGCCACAGAGTTCTTGTGGGCGTCTCTCTTTCCACAAGTTCTAGGAATGTTACTGGTCAGATATAACAGACATTGGGACCGAGGTGTGAACGCCACCCTGGGGTCATTCTGGGGGTGGCACCAGCAGCAAGGGCAGCAGCCAGCCCTGCTGGGGTACAGCCAAACGTGCCTACCCGGTGCTTCCTGGAAGCCCAGGTGTTCATGGGAACTGCTGGGAAGCTCCAGGTGCACTTGCCCCGGGCTGTGGTCAGCCAGCCAGCACAGTAAGTGCTGTGGGTCAGTAAGCATGCGTTCATTCACTGGACAGTGCTTGGCTGCACATGGCCTCTGTGTGGCATGTCCTAACCAGTGGGGACACAGCAGAGAACAAGACAGACCTGTGTAGTGAAGGGAAGGGCGACAGACGCAGAGCTTAAGGCACACATTGAGACAGGGTTTCAGAGGGTGAACGGCAGGCAGGAAATGAACCTGGTGAAGAGGGTGGTCATGGCAGCCTCTCTGAGTTCTGACATCGAGCTGAGACCTGAATGGCCAGTGAGTGCCAGAGCATCTGGAGATGACGTGGGAACAGGCCTGGCCTGTTGAAGGAGAGAGAGGCGGGCCTCTTCATTCAGGAGCACAGAGCATCCTCTGACACAGGGGGCCTGTGAAATTTCAGGATCCCCAGGGTGGGGAAGGGGAGATCACGCCCATCAACCAACCCCACCAGCTTTACGGGACACTTGGAAGAAAAGTTTCCGGGGCCTGGGGATAGGAATAGCTCATCTTAGCTAAAACAGCTGAGCTGCTCCCTGTGTGCACAGTGAACCACCCACGTACTGACCTGCCTGCTCCCTCTCCTGACTGAAAGGTGCGGAACCAGGCTGACATGCTCCCCATACTGGGTGTTAGACGGCTCCCCTTACCCTTCTCTTTAGTAAGGGTTCCTCCCAGTTCCTTCATTCTGTTTTTTAAATTGCTGGTTAGAACTCATTTTCTTTCTTTCCTTTTTTTTTTTGGAGAAAGTCTTGCTCCATAGCCCAGGCTGGAGTGCAATGGCGCTGTCTCAGCACATTGCAACCTCCGCCTCCCAGATTCAAGCGATTCTCACGACTCAGCCCCCTGAGTAGCTGTGATTATAGGTGTGTACCACAACACCCGGCTAATTTATGTATTTTTAGTGGAAAAGGGGTTTTGCCATGTTGGCCAGGCTGGTCTTGAACTCCTGACCTCAAGTGATCCCCTGGCCTCTGCCTCCCAAAGTGTTGGGATTACAGGAGTGAGCCACCGCACCCAGCCAGGACTCATTTTCATAGTGGGACTGCCGGTGCACAGCACAGGGGAGCCAGCTGACCCGCCCTGTCTGACCTCCAGGGCTGCACCACACCCATTACACGAGGGCTAAGCAGCAGCAGGCTGCCTCTCTGGGGTATCTAAGCAGCCAGAGATTCCTGGGGAACAGGGAGTACTGCCAATGAGTATATTAAAAAATCAAACTCAGTGTGAGTGCTTTCTACGTGCGAAAAGTCTCTGTCCTCACAGAGACTGGCAGCACAAAAAGGCTTATAGCAATTGCCTCATCCAGGAAACCAAGAGCTATTCCCAGAGGGAAGTGACCTGCCCAAGGTCTTATGGTAGGTACTGCCAAATACTCCCCCATTGATGCCCTCTGACGCCTGTGGGCCATCGGCCAGCCACGTCCCTATTGCACAGGTCAGGGACCAGGCTGCCTGTGGCTTGAGCCCACACTAAGCAGAGACTCTGACTTATAACAATTTTTCTGCTTTACAATGTGCAAAGTGACACTTGTTCAGTAGTCCCTTGACATGCAATGAAGTTGAGTCTGGATGAGCCAATCGTCAGTTAAAAATACTCTAAGTCACTTTTTACTTATCCAGATGTAGCTCCATTGTAAGACGGGGAGCACTGGCACGTAACACCTGTGGGGTTAAACCCCAGCTCATGACTTACTCGCTCTGTGATGTAGGGGAAATTTCTTCTCCTCTCTGTGCCTCCACTTTCTCGTCTATGAAGTGGCCATGATAACAGTCGTGCATATCTGGACAGGGTGGCTGTGAGCACTCGGTGAACTCACACATATATTACACCGGTGCTGCCGGAAACGTGAATCTATTCCAAGCTACAGATGACATCAGACATAGTTGTGAAGAGGGTCTATTTCCCAGGTGGAGAAATCCAGTAGGTTCTGGTGTGGCCTGCCCCATGTCCTCTGCCTTCGCCAGGCAGCCATAGTGGACACCATTGGCTGATAGCTTCTGTCCTTCCATACACAGGCGCCGGTGGTCCTGAGCCGAGACCACCATGACGTGAGCGGCACTGACAGCCCCTTTAGGGAGACCTCCAACATTTACGACGGCTCTGCCTTCTGTGCAGGTGAGGAAGGCGAAAATGTCTTAAACTTTAATGTTAGATTTGGATTTTATCAAACATTGGTACATTCAGTCAGTCACAATGGTTCGAAAGATGTTCTGGCATCTGAGAGGCTCAGCATAGAGTGACCACCCCAGGACCAAGCGGCTCTGGGATGTGGGACTTCCAGTTGTAAAACTGGCGAGTGCCAGCCACACCGGGCTGGCTGAGTGCCCTGGACGTGGGTGACCTTCAGGCTGTGGGCGGCCAGCTGTTTCCTTGTCTTTCCAGATCCTAGAGCTGCATTTCTTGCCTTTTTTGGCTCCTGGTCTCTTCCCCATCTTTGCAGCCTGGCACCAAGAGAAGGGAGATATTCTTAGGGTTCTCCGTGATCATCTCTGTAGGGTTTTTGGAGGAAGAGCCTGCAAGAGGGTGCAAACTCCTTTATCACTGTCCACCTAGGGGCTCATGGTCTCAGGCTGGCCCATGCCTGTCCCTTAGCAATGTGTTGAACTTGCAAGGTGACCTGCTTGGGCTCTGTTTTTCTCTGCAGATGCTCTCACTACCCAGCTTTCAGGTTGGATGGTTGTCCTGGGACCTCAGTTCCCTAATGGGGTCAAGGGAAGCCATTCATTTGCAGTTTGCTCCTCCACCCCCCTTTTTGAGAGTAGCAGTGACTCTCTTTGGCACTCTACTTTTCTGAGCTAATGCTGGTTCCACATCCCTTTTAATTCTTTTGTTCCCTCTGCTTCCGGGGTGCTTTACCTGATGCTCAGTGCTGGAGAGTGCCACCATGGGACAACTAGGCATGTGTCATTTTCTCCTGCGCCAGCTCTAGCTCTGCCAGCACACATGACTGCTGCTGTGAGAGGCCCTGTCCCTAGAGCCTAGTTGCCGCCCTATCCTTCCCGCCGAGCAGTGCTGGCTCAGCCAGTGGGGCCTGCTGATTCCCCCACCCAAGGCTGGCCTGACTGGGCCTGGCGCCTACCCAATGTAGGGGATAATGGGTGGGGGCGTCTCTATTTCTGCAGACATGGCCGTGCAGAACTTCGTGGGAGACGCCTGTCGCGGAGCCACCTGGGTCGCCCTTCACAACGGAGGGGGTGTGGGCTGGTAAGGTTTCAGAGGATGGGGTGTGGGGCTGATGTGAAAGTTTTGGGGGTTCCTTTGGGGCAGGGCCAGGCTGAGGTGCCTGTCCTGGGCCCTACCTCCCTGGTCACCTGCTCTGCCACACCTTTGTGGAAAATGTGTTCCTCAAGGGAGCAGAGACAGAGGGAAGAACTTTAGGAGAGGGCTTGCATTAGCCACCCACCTCTCTGGGTCTCCCCTGCTGCGTGAGTCTCGGAGGCCTCTTACGGAGGCTCAGCAAGAATGGTAGCTGCCCCTCTGTCAGTTTCCAGCGTGTCAGTTTCCATGTGTTCCCATGGAATTCCTGGTGCTTTCACGGCCAGGGTCTTGTCATTCCTTCTATGACCACCTCACTTGAGAGTGCAGGACCCAGCCAAGGCTCCCAGGGCGGCTGGGCTGAGAGCAGGAGACTTGGAGTCTTGGCTCCCTTCTCCCCTCAGCTCTGCCTCTGCCTGGCTGGTCTTTCTGAGAAAAGGGCCCTAGGTCTGGGCTCCTGGCCGAAGCTGGACTCTGGGCTGCAGGGAGCAGCAGGCGGTGCTGCAGCTTTGGAAGGAGGACAACACCCTGCCCCCTGCCTGGCTCCAGTGGCCATCTCCAAACTGGCCTCTGAGCCCATTTTGGCCAGATCAAGCGGTCCCCTGCCCTCTAGAGTCAAGTCCCGGCAGAGCATTGCGACAGGCTGGCTTGTCTTCCTGTCCTTGGAGGCTGCAGTTCCACACTGTGGCAGTCAGGTGGCTGTAATTAGAGGAAAATGTGACTGAGAGCATGTCCTTTGCGACACAGGGGCTGTAGGAAACCCCAGGTGGAGAAGGGCTGCCTGGCCACTGGGTATCTGGCATTTCTGCACAGGATTTTCCAAGTCATTTCCAGAGGGCAAAAGAGTGGCTCTGAAGGAGGCTGAGCAGTTTGCCCAGGGCCACGGAGCTGGCGGTAGAGCCGGGATATGGGCCCAGGTCCCCCAGGATCCATCATCATTGCTGATAGACAGCCGAAGGCAGGAAGGGATGGGGCTGGGCAGGCTGAGGAAGAGTGCGCACCCTGAGGGCCTTGGGGCAGGGACAGCAGGGCCAGAATTCAGGTGGACACAGTGCACTCTGCCCTCAGGGCTCCCAAGGCAGGGAATGCTCCCTCCAAATTCCTAAGTTGCTCCCCCAAGGTTTCCCCCGGACTCTGTGGACAGGGACACAGACTGACCAGATGCTGGGACCTATACCCTTTTACCCTGTTGTCCTTGAGGGGTCTTTTGGGAAAGTGTCACAAATTCACCCTGGGACCCATCACACTTACACATATACTTAATGCAATCCATCGGTAAAAAAGTCTGACCCTCCACCATGGCTACTCCAAAGGGACACCACTCCCAACAACGTCCCGACCATGGCTACTCCAAGGGGACGCCCCACCCCCGCAGCTCTGCAGCGTGGCTCTCCTTCTTTCATGTTGTTCCCTGTTTCTAGGCTGCATGCTCACCCTGACATTCCTGGACTGACCTTTCCTTGTTTGCGCTTGTCTGTTGGCCCCACTCCAGGACAACCAGCGACAGCTGTGTGTTGTTTCTGGCCTCCTCTGTGTCACTGTCTCCCGCAGCCCCTCTTCCTGATTGCCCGTTTGCCATCTGTCTTTGTGCCATCTGCCCAGCACTCACGTTTAGACGGGGCATTGCCTGGCTGGCCACAGCCCCACATGCTCAAGTAGATGTCTGGACCTCAGGCTGCAGGACAGGGCCATCTGGCTGGGTCATCTAGTGCAAGAGATCAAGACAAGAGCCAGGCTCTTGTTCTTGCGTTGGTAGAATCTCAGAAAAGACTTCTGATCTCTTTTCTCTTTTGCGAGCGCCCAGTGAGAGGGGTGGAGCCTCCCTGTTGGTGCTGCGGCCTCTCATGTGAGAGGGCCAGTTCCCGCGGCCGCTGAGGGCCTGCTCAGGCAGCCTCTAGGCAGCAGGTGGGTGGGCATCTGGGAGCCTACCTCAGGTGAGCAGACTTCCAGTGGGTGTTCCTGACTCTACCTCCACTCTTGCCCTCCTTTGGAGGCCCTTGGTGCTGACCACCAGCTCCTGAGGTTCCCTGGATACTGGGGTGCCAATGGGTTCTGACAGCCCCTCCCATGGCCACATTGAGCTAGAGCTTTCTGACGCTTGCCTCCAGCTTTCAGAATCCCGTCTCCTGTTCTCCTGTCCCTTTCTCCTCATCCTTATGGGTTAAATAATTCCTCTGCAGTCCTGTGGTGAAATGCGGGAGGGATAGGGATAAATGCCTGTGTTCTATCCACCATCCATTATATATCTGGATATTGACACTTTTTCACACTAAACAATGTCTTAAAGTACATCTGAAACTTGAATGTGTACAGAAATCCTCTGAGGATATTATTTAAATGCAGATTATTGTAAAAATGCAGGTCTGAGTTAGGCCTGGTGGTGCACACCTATAGTCCCAGCTACTCAGAAGGCCAAGGCAGGAGGATTGCTTGAGCCCAGGAGGTTTGAGTCCAGCCTGGGAAACATACTGAGACCCCCTTTAGCAAGCTCCTGGTAACACTGATGCTCTGGCCTGAAGACCTCTCTGAGTAGCCAGGGCTTCCAAGGCCCTCTGTCTGTGCACACAGCCCTCCTGCATGTTCCTGCAAGCCTTCTGCCCCTGCGCAGGGAGGGTGATGCCCTGATGGACAGCCCTGGAGCACAATGGTTGACGGCAGGAGTTCTCAGGCCATCTGCCTGCACAGGGTAGGCTTGCTGTGCCTTTGTTTCTCAATGAGGAAATAAGCATAATAATAGTAACTGCCTTGTAGGCTAGGGGTGAAGAGGAAATGAGCCGATCATAGCTAACACTTGCAGAGTGTAACACATGCAAGGCCCTCTTCTAAACTATTCATGTATGTTAGCTCATCGAATCATGTACTTTAATACATCTGGCATTTATGTTTTTCTACTTTCATGTTTTTCTCAAAGGTATAGTTAATTGTTCCAGCACCATTTGTGAGTAATCCCAAACTTACCATTAATAGCAATGCATTATTGTTCCCATTTTTCTGGGATCTGCATGTCCAGGGTTCCACTGTGGTCAGTTTGCCAAGGTCACCTGAAGCCAAGTGACCTTGGTCTCTGACCCTGTGGAATGCAGGCTTCTAAAACAAAATCTGTAGTTCTAATCTCCAAGAGGCCTCTCTAGTGCTCAGGCCTGGGCGTGGCTGTTGCTTCTCTGACAGGTGAATGTTAATGACTGTAGATTGACTCGGAACACCTGGAAGCTGGTGGGAGGTGTGAGGGCAACCCATTGCAGGACACGGACCACCCAGGTGCAGGGATGCAGGGTAGTAGGCAGCACAGCTGGCTCACTCACAGGAGGGGTGATGCAGCTTCTGGGACCAGGAATGGGGAGTACAGGTGGCTGCAAGGGGCACAGGGCATCTTGGTTTCCTGGTGAGAACTGGCTGAGGTTGTGGTCAGTAGGATCCAGGCTGGGCAGAGAAGCAGGGAAAGCCGGATGAGCCAGAAGGATTTGAGACTAGGGAAACCAGATGCACATTTTTGGTGCTGGAAGAAAAAGGAACAGATTTACTGCAAGTGAGGAACAAGAGGCAGGACGGACACGTTTGCAGCAGTGTAGCGACAGGCGTTTACAAAATCAAGGGTGCTTCTCGTGTGTGACTGAAAGCTGAGAAGACTGAGCAGGAGCCAAGGGTGGATCCTTCAAGGGTAGCAGCTCCAGCTGGTAGGTGGACAGCTGAGGATGGGAAGGCTGTTCCAGGCTGATGGGGAACAGCTGCAGTACACAGGCATGGAAACAGCAGCAGAGCTTCAACACACTTAGCGAAGTTCAACACATCTACTAGGGAACAAATGAAAACAAGAACTTGTCAAAAACTGTTAGAGGCAGAGAAATGCATTAATTAGAAAATCAGAAATATTGAAAATAAAGGAACTTAGTCTTTGGGTCAGGTAATCAGAAGGACCCCACCATACTTGAGGCAAGCAGAAAGAAGAAATAAGGAAGATAAAGATCATAAGGATAAAATCAGGCAGGCACAGTGGCCCATGCCTGTAATCCCAGCACTTTGGGAGGTCAAGGCAAGAGGATTGCTTCAGGCCAGAACTTCATGGCCATCCTGGGCAGCATAGCCAGACCCCATCTCTAAAAACGATTTTTTTAAAAAGATAAAACCAGGGGCCAGGCGTGGTGGCTCACACCTGTAATCCCAGCACTTTGGGAGGCCAAGGTGGGCGGATCACCTAAGGTCAAGAGTTCAAGACCAGCCTGGCTAACATGGTAAAACACTGTTTCTACTAAAAATACAAAAAATTAGCCAGGCATGGTGGCACATGCCTGTAATCCCAGCTACTGTGGAGGCTGAGGCAGAATTCCCGGAACCTGGGGGGTAGAGGTTTCAGTGAGCCGAGATCGTACCATTGCACTCCAGCTTGGGCAACAAGGGCAACACTCCATCTTACAATAAATAAATAAATAAATATATATAATAAAAATATATAACCAGAAAGGGTGATGACTGAGTTAAATAATGCAAAACACACCAAGGGGAGTTTGCTTTATAGGGCAGCACTCTGAGAATACATGGAGGAAGGGGCCACAGCCCACAGGGGGTGACCTCCAATGGGTGCTGGAGGTGGGTGCGAGGCCGATGGGCCCAGCACAGAGGGCACAAGTGGGCAGAGAGGCGGCAGGTGGTCACACTGCTCTCAGCTCTGCTTGCCTGCACAACTCCTGCATCCACCAGGTTGCAGAGCCCGGCAGCATAGGGGCCCCAACCCCGACACTGTCTCAAGCCAATGCTTCCAAAACATGGGCTTCTGCCTGCTCTGTGCAGGGTTGGGCCCAAGGAGTGAATTGAAAACTCCTCTCCCTCCTGCAGGGGTGAGGTGATCAACGGGGGATTCGGCCTTGTCCTGGATGGGACCCCGGAGGCAGAGCAGAGAGCCAGGCTGATGCTCAGCTGGGATGTCTCCAATGGCGTAAGTCAGCCCAGGCCTTACCACCTCCTCTTCTGTCCCATCAGTGGCTCTGCCTCTACAGATCGCAGACCTGAGAGTGAGCCCTGCCCCTTCCTCCCCGGAAAACAGTCAGGAGCGCAGCTGGCTGGTCCCTGCCTGTTTGGCCATGCCTTTCCTCTCCCGCCACTGTCAGGGCTCCCTCCTCAGCAGACCACCCCTGCGACTCTGGCGACCACTTCCAGAGTCTCCCGTGGGTCTCCTGCCTCTGTCCACACAGGCATCCGCTGGCTGCCCCAAGTCTTCCTCTGGGAGAGCATCCCTGTTTTCTCTCGATGGTCCCCAAAGGCATGTCAGCAGCTTACGCTGGCAGGGCCTTCAGCTGGGTGACCCCCATCCACATTTGCTATCACACAGCACCTCCTGGGCATGGGGACAGGGGCTGGATTCCTCCCATGACCACAGCACAGCAGCCAGGAAGGGGAAGCAGTTCAAATGGAGGTCAGGTCAGGTTATGATGGGGAGACAGGTGGGACCCAGAGAATGGGAGGATGCTTGGAGCCAAGGCAGGAATTCAGACAGCTTGGTTTACTGAGAGCCCCTGGGCTGGGCCTGGAGTGTGACCATGAGGACAGAGGGGGTACTGGCAGGAGACTCCCCCCAACTCACCGGGAGCTGCAGGGCTTCTGGTGGGGCTGGGGATGGAGGTCTGCATCTTGGAGCAGTGAGGTTTTGTTCTAGGAGGTGCCCCGGTTGTGGCATGGAAAAGTGGGTTGGGGCAGGTGTGGGGACCATGTGGATGGCGAGGGCGGGGGTGGCAAGAATGGCAGAAGGGAATGGAGGAGAAGGTGTGGTGTTGTTCAGGGGAGAACAGGTGGAGGGAAGAAAGCAGACTGCAGGGAGATTGCGAAGGTAGAGCTCAGATCTCAGGTAGAGGTGGATTCTAGGATTCTAGGAGGACAGAATGGAGGGAGGTGCTGCGGAAGACGTGGGAGGCGAGGCCATTCTTGGAGATGGGTGAGTGGGACTGAGTGTGACAGCCACCAGTTTCAGATCCCAGAGGAGGGCCAGAGATAGTGAGGCTGAGTTGGGGTTGGGGATGGGGCAGACGAAAGAGGACAGCTGGCTCCATGGACAGCGCTGGCCCCAGGACAGCCTCGAAGCAAACAGGGCCCGAGTGTGGGAGCCAGGACTCATGTGGGGAGCCCGGTCATGTTGACATGGACTGCTATCCTCCTCCCTGCCCCAGGTGGCCCGGCGCTGCTGGTCAGGGAACCGGAAGGCCTATGAGATCATCTGCCAGACCATGCAGGAGAATAGCGGCTTGGTGGTGACACTGCCCCACGATGTGGGGGATGAGCAGGTGCTGCAGCAGGCCCTGCAGCTCTGAGGGAGCCGACAGCTGCAACCCCTGCCTCCCTTCCTCCCCAGCATCCTCACCTGCCCAACCACGGTGCACACCCTTCCTGCACACCTGCACCGCCTGCACTTCTGACACAGCCTCACATGACCCTCATGGTGCCCTGCACAGGGTGCCACCACAGCCTGATTTTACAGACAGCCCGCTGAGGCCCAGAGACGTGCAGCCTTCTGTCCACAACCATGCTGCTTGCCTGGGAGCCCTGAGGGCTGTGAATGTTTGTTCAGGGCCAAGTCTCAAGCCTGCCTGGGGGCCCTGATGTGAACACTAGCTGAGCATTCCCTGGCCAGGATGATCACACCCTCTGCCTCCTGGCTGCCTGCCAGCCTCCCCAAAGCTCTGTCTGTCTGCTGCCCATCTGCTGTCTGTACAAGCACTTTCTGGACCCTTGGTGCCCTGGGCTGCTGGTCTGGAGGAGTCCAGGAAGGAGGACAGACCTGGAAATAAAGGGTTCAACAGAGCTGTGCTGCACTGTGGGCTGGTGGGATGGGCAGGCTGGGTCTTCCCTAAGGATAAATACACACTTATTGGGGAAGAAACGAGAGAGCGGGGGCACCCCTGCACAGTCTGAGGGGTACAGCAAAGGTGACCACAGGAAGTGTATTGGCCCCTGAGGCTGGAGTCTTGCACCCCTCCCCCAGTCCCTCAGCCCGGCAATGGCTGGGTTCAGAGCTTCATGAGAGGTCACCAGGGTGAGGGAGGTGGCCTCCGTCAGGGCCAGGACTCATGAATCTCATTCCCTTAGCTGGGCCCACAGGGGACGACCAAATGCCTTGTCCTAAACAGAGAAACGAGAGAGAGCCTGCAGGGTGGGCCACTGAGGACCACAGAAAGGCAGATACCCCTTGTGTTTGTGGACCGGAGAGGGGCAAGCCAGCTGGGTTCTGGGTCCCCACACACCTTAAAGGGGAGCGGCCATTCTCCCCTTTCCCTTATGAGCAAAAGCCCGGTTTTGTGTGGGCAGCAATATAGGGTAAAAACCACCTGATTCTCCACCCTTCCTTGCTGTTAGGAGGGACTGTTAGCCTAGTCCTGGCCCACGAGATGAGGTGGAGGTCTGCAGGGCAGGGCTTCTTGAGAGGCCCATTTCTCATAAAATGGACAGATCTGAGGGGTTGCTTTTTGCCTTCACTTCTTCTTCCTGCCAGAACCAATATGTGGGGCCTCGAAACACAGCAACCAGGGGCAGCTGCCACATAACGCCTGGCACCAAGGCCCAAACAACAGAAATGAAACACGTTTGCAGGCTGGAAGCCCAAGACCAGGTGCTGGCTGAAGTGATTCCTGGTGAGGCAGCTTCTCGCTGCACCCCCCCATGGCAGAGACAGAGAGGAGAAGGTGTTACAGAGAGAGGCAGAGGCAGAAAGACAGAGAGAGAGAGAGAGACAGGACAGACTGTAGGGGCTCATGGTCTGTCCCATGTCTCTGTGAAAGCACCCTGCTGCATGAATCTGCACACACATCTTAAGAGCAGCCCACAGGGCCCTGGCATCACTCTTTTCCCATCTGGCACCTTTTCTCTTGAAGGACAGGCAGGGCTCCGGTGGCGTCCAGCTGTTCACAGGCCCCCTCTGGGCTCCATACCAAGCCATGCCAGGGAGCAGGTGACTTCCCTAGGCCACTGCATGACAGCCTGCTGCTGGCTGCTGCAGGGGGAAGTGACAGCTGACTCCCATGGGGCTCACGGCAGAATTGGGGAGGGGCCACAGATGTGGTCGCCATGGCTGGAACAGTGTGGCTTCTGATGTGTTCAGTGCCATCTTTTCTTTCAGAAGGCAAGGATATATAGTCCAGTTAGAAATGTTTTCATCAAAACGACTAAAAGAGAAACCAATTGACCATGATGAGTATAGGCTTCAGTTGCCTTAACAGTTGGAGCTGAGAACAGCTCAGGCCCCATAGTGCAGCGTTAGGGTTCTCTCCCTGGGCAGCCCCTGCTCCCTGCAAACCCAGGGTCCCTGGGAACCACATACTTTCCTTGCTGGCAAGTCCAGGTAAGGGAGGGAGGGCCTGGTGGAGTGACGCACTCTCCCATTCCAGTTTTCCCAGAGTAGACAACCACATAGGGGCTTGTGACAGAGCTTGACCACAGTGATTTTTTTTTTTTTTTTAAATTTTTTAGAGACAGGGTCTTGCTGTCTCTCTCAGGCTGGAGTGCAGTGGTGCAATCATGGACCACTGTAGCTTTGAACTGGGTTGAAGCGAGCGATCCTCCTGTGTAGCTAGGACCACAGGAGCCCTGCACCACACTCAGACTGCAGCTGTGTTTTGTTTGGTCTGTCCTGTTTTTTAAAAATTTGACTTTGTCACCAATGTTTACAAACTGGGAGAATCCCAGAGCTTATTTTTTGAAAATCGAGATACAAGGTGACACCATGCTCTCACCACCTCTGCAGTGGCGATCTGCCAGGGGCCCTCTGCACTGTCCTGGCTCTCTGCACTTGACCACAGTCCCTTCCAATTCCTACAGACCCCATGGTGAGCTGGAAAGTGCATGCTGTTTGTCCTGTGGCATGAGCTTCTGTGTTTCCTGCGCCCAGTTGCCTCTCATATCTGTGTGACTTACATGACCTCTGCTGGGATTTGAACCTGTGACCTTTGATAAAGGAACACCCTTTTGTTCTCGGTAAACTCCATCCCCACTCCCATCAAAATTTGGGAATCCTGGACACTTCTGTTAGCAATCTAAAGATCCACGTGATGCCTTTAGCCTGAAAGAGGTGCTGGGCATCCAGTGATACCTGGGCTGGTGGGATTTCGCCCCAGACACAAATGAATCTGAGCACGCATGCATGTGTCATCTGTGTCCTTTCCCCTGGCTTCTCCAAACGCCTTCCCACACAGCCTAGAGAGTGCAGGTCTGGGTGGCTGAGGTACAAGCTCTGTGGTCCTTGTATTTTTGGGGCACTCCTTTGAGACTACCAAGTTCACGTCTCTGCCTGAGCCCCACTGAATGACATCCTTGAGCTAACTCAAGCCCATTTGGTGAAGGGCATGTCTGACCCTCGCCAGGAGTCCTGTTGCTCCTTGCAGAGTGTCTCAGCAGAGGGTGTTAGAAAGAACCGACTATCAGATTTGAGCTTTGGTTGGGTGAATTGGGGGAGACTAAAGAAGCAGGATTTGCTCTGGATTGGCTCTTACCAGAGAGCGGGTCAATGCCACGACTGGGTTTCCATCTAAATCCTATATATAGAGAGGGGGCTGCGCAGACAGACAGGCTGTCAGGGGTATAGAATCAGTGGCTGCTCACTTCAGCTGAGAAAGGGGGTGCTCAGTGTCTTGTAAATGGCACAGTAAGTGACCTCGCTTTATCTGGGCGAAGACACTTCGTAAAGTGGCCTTGCTTTGTCTCATGTCATCATGGCTCAGTGACCTTGGCCTATTTGGTTTTATGCATGATGGTTCAGGTCTTACAAAACAGTGGCACAGCTATAGCACCCAGCCAATTCTGTATGGCAGGGGCTGCCCTTTTTCTTTCTCAGTCCTCTTGATTTTACAGATGAGGAGACTGAGGCACAGAGAAGTTGTGTTGGTTTAAAGATAGCTGAAAATTCTTTTCACTTCCCATTGAGAGGTGGTGTACAAGTTCCTCTTGCCTAGGTCTGCAGTGTCTTGCGACTTACTTTGATCATGAGAATGTGGCATGATCACTGCTGCGCAACTTCTGGGTCTGGGTCCTAAGAGACGGCAGCTGGAGTTCTAGCAACACACCCTCTCAGAGCCCAGCTGCCATGCTGGGGGGGCCTGGTGAGCTGTGTGAAAGACCAGGACAGCAGCAGCTGCCAGACCCTGACTTACAGCGGTGACGAACCTAGTGGCCGCCTGCACTGTCCAATGTGGTAGCTGCAGGCTGTCCACAGTGTGTTCAATATTTGACATGTGGCTGGTGTGAGGAACTGAACTGTAAAATTTGGTGTTTTAATCCATGTAAATCAAATTTGATTATATTTCATATGAATGCACAGTAATGAATCTCTTAATGAATACTTTCTGAGAAATGCATTGATAGGTGATTCCATCATCGTATGGAGGTCATAGAATATCCTTTCACAAACCTAGATGGCACAGCCTACTACACATCTAGGCTATGTGGGATAGCCTACCACTCCTAGGCTACCTACCCGCACAGCATGGTACTGTGCTAAATATTTTAGGCAATTGTCACACAACAGTAAGTGTTGTGTCTCTGAACATAGCTAAACATAGAAGCGATACAGTAAAGATAAAGTATTAATATAAAATATTAAAAACTGGTACACCCTTATAGGGCACTTACCATGAAAGGAGCTTGCAGGACTGGCAGGTGCTCTGGGTGAGTTAGTGAGTGAGTGGTGAATGAACGTGAAGACCTCTGGCATGGCTGCACTACTGTGGACTTTATAGACACTGAGCACTTAGGCTACACTAAATTTATTTTAAAATATTTTTCTTTCTTCAAGCTGGGCATGGTGGCATATGCCTGTAGTCCAGCTAACTAGGAGGCTGACCTGGAAGGACTGCTTAAGGTCAGTTGGAGGCTGCGCTACGACTGCACCTGTGAATAGCCATTGCACTCCAGCCTGGGCAACTTGGGGTGGACTTACTGAGTCATGTGGAGACTATGTTTAGCTTTCTGCAGAACTGCCAAGCTGTTTTCCACACAGCACCGTTATACCTACCAGCAATATGTGAGGGTTCCAATTTTTCTATGTCCTGTTTTAAAAAAATTACCGCTATTTTAGTAGGTGTGAAGTTGTATCTCACTGTGTTTTTATTTGCATTTCCCTAATGACTCATGATGTTGAGCATCTTTTTATTTGCTTATTAACTGTTTGTATATCTTCTTTGGAGAAATATGTCTATTCAAATTCTTTGCCTTTTAAAAAAGTGGACCATTTGTCTTCTTGTTGCGTTAAAAGTGCTTTATACATTCCAGATAGTAGATCCTTATCAGATATATGATTTGCACACTCTTCTCCGATTCTGAGTTGTCTTTCACTGTCTTATTGGTGTACTTTTAACTGAGTAAGTTTTTAATTTTGACGAAATCTAAGTAATCTATTTTTCTTTCTTGCTGGTGCTTTTGATATTATAGCTAAGAAACTATTCCCTAATCCAGGGTCACATAGATTTACACCTATTTTTCTTCTCATAGTTTTATGTCTTACATGTAGGCCTTTGCTCTATTTTGAGTTAATTTTTGCCTCTGATGTGAGATACAGGTCCAAACTTGTTCTTTTTGATGTGGAGATCCAGTTGTACCAGTGTCACCATTGTTGAAATGACTATTCTTTCCTCCACTGAATGGTCTAGGAACAATATGTTTTTGGCAAAAACCGATCTATGTAATAGGTGTATCGTACTCTTTTTAATGTTATAATTTGTGTTACTTTTAAAAAATACTGTTAATAATAAAGCATTCATGTATTTAATAAACATGCACCAAAAGTCTTCCTGGGCGCACACTGTGAATAAAACACAGTTCCTGGGCTCCAGGTGCCTATATTCCAGAGGCAGGGAGAAACAGTGAAGGAGCAGGGAAGGGACACACAAAACAACAGGTGATGAAAGCTGTAAGAGCAAACAGATCAGACAGAGGTGGGAAGTACGGGACTGGGTAAGCATGTGCTTTGGATAAGAAGGGCCGCAGAGGAATCAGAGATCAGCTGCGCGAAGTCCCTGAGGGTGGAACCAGCTTGGCCTGCTCGAAGAACTGGGAAAAGGAGGTAGGGGGCGGGAAGGGGTGGGGAGCATCGGGAGAGTGGCAGAAACTGAGGGCAAACAGGTCGGAGAGGGTAGACCAGCAAGGCCCTTCGGTGCCTTCAGGGACAAAGTGGGGAGGGGCATAATTTGATGTGCAATTTTTAGATCATAAAACCCTGCCCCGTGGAGAACAGGTGGGTAGGAGCGAGTGGAGTGGAGACTGATGACCAGCTAGTAGTTATTTTTCAAGTACCCAGGAGTAAAGTGCGGGTTTGGATCTGAGTGGTGGTGAGGGTGAACTAGAGAAGTTCAGATTGAATGTGGAGGTGCACGGTGGGGTGGGGGAGGGCGAGGAACAGGAACAGTAAGTAACTCAGCTGTTGCAGAGTGAGGTTGTGTCCAGTTTAGTAGGAAATACAGTTGGAAATATAGGCAGGGGTGCTATCAGGGAGGCCCCGTGTGCCAAGCAAGGCCCTGGGCCGATGCAAACGAGGTCTGTATGCCAGCGGCGGCGGGCAGGCTTGCACTTCAGTGAGCTGAGGGAAGGCGTCCAGCCTGGTGGACAGGTTCGAACCCTGAATCTGCTGGCTGCCGGCTGTGTGACTCGAGCTCTCCATGCCTGTTTCCTCACTCTTAGGGTGGATGCGCACTTTCAATCAGCTCAGACAGGCACTGCCCCAGGACGCGGTCAATGCTGTTAGTGTCTGAAATACTAATATGATTCAAAGTCAGACGAGCTTCGTCTTCCACCCAAGACGGAACCAGAGAAAAGCGCTCAGCGTTCGGAGCCTAGCCCCTCCCATCGGTCCCGCGCCCCGCCCCAAACCCCGGTCCGTCCCGGCGCTCCGCCCCTACCCCGGCGCCCATCAGTCCCGCCCACGTCACGCCGGCCCAGCAGGCCTAGCGCACTGCCCCGCGGCGCCCGCGCACGCGCAGTTCCGAGCCGGACTCTGCGCCGGGCCTCGGCGCGGATCGCCTCCCAGAGCGGCGCGCGCACACCTGGGCGGGGCGGGCTGTGCTGCGTCCGAAAGGGCTCCGACGCCGTCGCTGGGCTCAAGATGGACCTCCCGGCGCTGCTCCCCGCCCCGACCGTGCGCGGAGGACAACATGGCGGCGGCCCCGGGCGGCTCCGCCAGGCCCCAGCGTCGCTGGGCCCTAGCCCAGTGCGCCGCCGCCTGCTACTGGTGCGGGGCCCCGAAGATGGCGGGCCCGGGCCGCGGCCCCGGGAGGCCTGCGGGCCGAGCCCGCCGCCCGCCGAGGACGACAGCGACGGTGACTCGTTCGTGGTGTTGCTGGAAGTGCCGCACGGCGCCGCCGCGGAGGCAGCCGGGTCACAGGAGGCCGAGCCTAGTTCCCGAGCCAACTCCGCGAGCCGCCCCGAGCAGGGCCCCAGCGGCCCGGCCGCTGCCCCGGGCCCCGTAGCAGTCCCGGCGGGCGCCGTCACCATCAGCAGTCAGGACCTGCTAGTGCGCCTCGACCGCGGCGTCCTCGCGCTGACTGCGCCGTCCGGTCCCGCGACCGCGGGCCCCGCCGCGCCCCGCCGCGCGCCGCCGGCCTCCGGCCCTAGCGCGCCTCGCTACCGCTGTCCTGAGCCGCAGTGCACGCTGGCCTTCGCCAAGAAGCACCAGCTCAAGGTGCACCTGCTCACGCACGGCGGCGGCCAGGGCCGGCGGCCCTTCAAGTGCCCGCTGGAGGGCTGCGGCTGGGCCTTCACGACGTCCTACAAGCTCAAGCGGCACCTGCAGTCGCACGACAAGCTGCGCCCCTTTGGCTGCCCTGTCGGCGGCTGCGGCAAGAAGTTCACTACCGTCTACAACCTCAAGGCGCATATGAAGGGCCACGAGCAGGAGAGCCTGTTCAAGTGCGAGGTGTGCTCGGAGCGCTTCCACACGCAGGCCAAGCTCAGCTCCCACCAGCGCAGCCACTTCGAGCCTGAGCGCCCGTACAAGTGTGACTTTCCCGGTAACCGCGCGCTCGGGGGGCGGGCGGGCTGCGCGGTGCTGCAGGCAGGCCGGGGTGCCACGTCCGCCCCCCCAGAGAGGCCTGCCAGGTCTTAGCAAGCCGGGCACGCAGGCTCTTCGGGGTTTGTGTTCTAGCTCCTTCCATGTCATTCCATTTGAGATCTTGGCCCTGCCTTGCTGAAGTGTTTTCGACGGCCGGTAGCGCAGATCACCACAGTTGCGCTTCCCAAAGGTGGCGGCAGCAGATCTCCTTAACCTGATTGCGCTTGATGAAAGCGGCAGCGCATCTCCACAGAGTGGCACGGAGCTTATGAGACGGGTCCTTATTTTCCTCAGTCTCGTCGTTTATTTACGGGGTGCACACACCATGCTGGAGGAGCAGAGATGAATGTGGCCAGATTCAGGACCTTAACACGCTGGGGGGATAGCCACAGGTGTGCGCACATCCTGGCTTTTGTGTCTTTTATACTTTGATTTCCGTTGAACTTCACAGTCTTGTGAAGTTTTAAAAATTAGCCGTCTGTGAAGGTTAAAAACTTCATTTTACAGATGAAGAGACTGGGGCCGAGCATCGCGAATAAAGTTCGCTGCCGGTTCTTTCTCCACTCTGTTGACCTGCAGTTGTTGGGAATGTAGGACTCCAACACAGTGAGCTCTTCACCAGGGTAGGCAGCTTTCCCTGCTCTCACAGGGATAGGGTTCCTCCACAAGGGCCAGAGAGGATTCCTGCCTGGGAAGGCAGAGAATGGGGTGGGCTGGATGGCAGAGCCCAGGTGGAATCCCTGGGCTGTGGTGAGGGCCCAGGAAGAAGGAGCAGTCATTCAAACAGAAACTGGAACGTGTGCCTAGCATGCCCCTAACGTGTATATGCATACAGCTCTTCTAATAATGTCCTCAAACAGGAATTTTGAAAGGGTGAGATGAAAATTATGAATGGAGTTTGTTATTTTTTTCCCTCGCATATGCCTGTAGACTGTCTTGTGCATCCCTCTTCAGAGAGAACGTGGCTCGAGGCCACTGGCTCAAAGCCTTTTTCAGTCATACACTATTGGGAATCTGATGGTGGCTATTTCCCTGCTAAAAGAGTATCGTTCTGTGTATGCCACTAGGAAGGTCAGGGACCCTGCCTGCTTCCAGGCATTAGATCCCCTGAGGGTTTTGTGTTGGCCCAGTCTTGAGACTTCCTGTGTGAGATGAGATTAGATGGTTGGAAGCAGGAGCAGGACCAGTGAAGCATCATCAGAGGGCCCAGACCTGAGTTTCCTGAGGGCCTAAGCCAGGCAGTGGGAGTGGTGGAAGTTCTAGCAGGTGAGATTGCAGAGGGAGAACCAAAGGGCATAATTATCTATGGGAGTGCAGGGTGTTCTTGCAAAGGCAGAGTGTCTGTGTTGAGATTTACATGACCAAGTGTGTGAACACTCCAAAGCCCAAAATACCCTGGGATGATTTTTGGACTAGATTGAGGCCAAAGATCAGCATTTCCTGTTTAGATGTTGCTGGGGAAAGTAGGGTTCCTTGGGCTGACACTTTCGGGCAGTGTTATGCCATGTACATCTGTGTGGAAGTTCATGGGCATGATGGTATCTCATTAAAGGCTCTGGGAAGAGCTGCAGCAAAAACCGCTGTTGAACATCCTGTAGCCTCCTATTATCCACCCTGTTGGAGCCCTGAATGTTTCTGTTGGAAGAGCAGCATTGCTGTGGAATTGCTGAGGCTTGGCTGCTGTGGCTGGGGGTTAGGATGGAGGTGAAGATTACAAAGCAGAGAATCCTAAGGAAATGGCAAAAGGAAAAAGAAGCCAAATAGCAAGGGACCGGGCTGGCAGTTGAAGGGTGTCAGGGAGGAAATTTGGATATGTAGAGAATGCAATATCACCCCCAGGGGGTGAAAAATCCTGTCTAGTAGAGTGGTTTGTAACCTTTCAAAGATCAACTCTACCATACAAAATCTTGATTCTCAGTATTTGGTTTCCCTCTTGGGGTTCTTGGGTCTCAGCATTAACATTTGAGTTCATGGAAGGTACACTAACTGTGCCAGTAGATGGCTGTGAACAGAGGACTTTCTCTTGATTAGTTGCTTCATCTCCAAGTCATGTCACAACAGGTGGCCAGCATGTGCCTATTGGCTGCCATTAGCCACCTTCCTGTGGTGATCACAAAGCCAAGCATTAACAGTCATCCCTTTTTAGAGAGTGCTTCTGAGTCATGTTTTTCCTTGTCTGCTTCAGTGCTAACAGTGTCTGGTGGGTGTGACTAGCATTAGCTGTGTCGTATAATTTTTGCCACGCTTTGAGCAGGGTTTGTGTTTTCCTTGTTTAGGCTGTGAGAAGACATTCATCACAGTGAGTGCCCTGTTTTCCCATAACCGAGCCCACTTCAGGGAACAGGAGCTCTTTTCCTGCTCCTTTCCTGGGTGCAGCAAGCAGTATGATAAAGCCTGTCGGCTGAAAATTCACCTGCGGAGCCATACAGGTAATGCACTAGGGAACGCACAGCATTCAGATCCGAGATTTGTTTTCATTGTAGCTGTTGGAGTTGTAAATTTTATGCTGTGTAATTTTTTTCTTTTATAAGGTGAAAGACCATTTGTTTGTGACTCTGACAGTTGTGGTTGGACCTTCACCAGCATGTCCAAACTTCTGAGGCACAGAAGGTAATCCTTACATGTGGGTTTGCGTTATCAGCTTTGAAAATGAGTGGTTTGTCAGCAGCAGAAACTGATGAATGAAATGTCTGTAGACTTTTTTAAGTTGTAAAAAAAAAAATAGGAGTTTTGTTAATTTGGAAAATTCAGAAAACTATAAAAAGAAAATCTCATCACCTGAAGACAGTTTTTTCTATGTATGCTTTTAAAAAACCTTAATTGGCATACTCTGTTCTTTTAAAAAAAATAGTTCCAGTTTTTTAAACTTTTTTAACATTGTAGAATAAGCTTTCTTCACGTAATTACAAGTTTTCTTGGTGTAATGACAACCCTGGAGGCTGTGTCCAGGTGACACCCAGCATTTTACATAGATCTTCTATCTTCACGACAACTCTGAAGCTGATGTTCTTATTCTCCCTGTTTTACAGTGAGACTCGGAGAGATTTGGTGGTTTTTCTGTGCTTGCACACCTGGCCTTTGAGGATTTAATGTAAAAATGTCACTTAGGAAAAGACGCAGTCTTTACAAATTGGCTTAAGAGAGTCCTTTTAGCATTGCAGCTGGTGCTCTGCACATTTCTCACGGCCCTCTATTGCTGGAAAACTTGTTGATCATGGGGATTTCTAAACAGTTAAATACCTTCATCAATACATTTGGGACTCCACTGTTCTTAGATTAAAGTAGTATTAATTGTTTGATGTGTGACTCTGGGGTCCGCTTAGTCATTAAAGTAGAATTTTTTTTGTGTGTGTGATAAAGTCTTACTCTGTTGCCAGGCCAGAGAGCACTGACACAATCTCAGCTCACTGCAACTTCCACTTCCCGGCTTCAAGCGATTCCCCTGCCTTAGCCTCTTAAGTAGCTGCTACTGCAGGCGCATGCCACCATGTGTGGCTAATTTTTTTTTTATTTTGGTAGAGACGGGATTTCTGCCACCACATGCGGCTAATTTTTTGTATTTTAGTAGAGACGGGGTTTCACCATGTTGGCCAAAATGGTTTTGCTCTCCTGACCTTGTGATCTGCCTGCCTTAGCCTCACAAAGTGCTGGGATTACAGGTATAAGCCACTGTGCCCAGCCTAAAGTAGAATTTTTAACTATGGGGTAGCTAAATTGCAAATCTGCTCACATGGATTAAAGACAGAATTAAGATTTTCTGAAATGTACCGATCATTTTTATAAATGCAAAATTGATATTTTGGTATATTTTGTAGAATTTTAAAGAATCACCATGAGTTGTGTGAAGAATCACAGTGCCTTTATTTTTCTGTCTGGCAGGAAACATGACGATGACCGGAGGTTTACATGCCCTGTCGAAGGCTGTGGGAAATCATTCACGAGAGCAGAGCATCTGAAAGGCCACAGTATAACCCATCTAGGCACAAAGCCATTCGAGTGTCCAGTGGAAGGTAGATTTTAAAACATTGCTTAGAGCAGTAAACTAAGTACCATGCCAGCATTTACGTTAAGTTTCCATTATTTAAAGGTAAGTGTTAGCTGCTTAAAGACTGATTCAATATAAGTTGCAGCATTATGTTTACTTATCTCATTGAGTTAATTGTACTATTTTGGGAGCGGTGATGTGAGAATCAGATGTGGTTTCACTCATGGCCCTGTTGCTCACTAGATCTGTGGCTCTAGTTAGGTTACCTGTTTAATTTGGTGGCTGTGAGGATTAGGTGAAATGTAGAAAATGCTTGTTTATGCATCTGGCATGGAGCTCGGACTCAGTAAATGGTAGGTACTTTTGAGATCACGTTTGAATTGTGGCTCCAATCATTTTGTGATTAGACAGCAGTAAAGCTACACTAATCTTTTTGTTTGTTTGTTTGTTTGTTTGTTTTGTTTTGGAGACAGAATCTTGCTTTGTCACCCAGGCTGGAGTGCAATGGCACGATCTTGGCTCACTGCAAGCACCACCTCACTGGTTTAAGTGATTCTCATGCCTCAGCCTGAGTAGCTGGGATTACAGGTGCCTACCGTCACACTTGGGTAATTTTTATGTTCTTAGTAGAGACGGGGTTTCTCCATGTTGGCCAGGCTGATTTCAAACTCCTGACCTCAAATGATCCACCCGCTTCGGCCTCCCAAATTGCTGAGATTATAGATATGAGCCACCACGCCCAATCTGATTTTTTAAAAGGGGTATTAGAAAGGCTTTTTCCTTTAAAACATTGAAGGCTCAGTTCATTTGCTAGAAATCAGCTGTGTGACCTGTGCATGCTGGCCCTACTTGAGGGCTGCAGGTGCACTGGGAGGCAGTGAGCCAGGACAAGTCGAGTGGTGATGGATTTAAAGTCTGGCTCCACCGCTCCCTAAAGTGGTAACCTCAAGCAAGCTGCTTCTCTGGGCCTTGGTTTCCTTATCTGGAAAAGAGGATAATAACGACCCATTTAAAGCTGAGACCAGCTCTTAGAACAAAATGACCATATATACAAGTGGTGTAATTGAGACACATCTCCTTCTGTCAGAGTGTCAGCTGGTGCAGACAGGGGAACAGGTAATACGTAGGGTGCTGCAGGGGCACAGAGGGTTCCCCTAGACTGCTCTTTGGGGTGAGAATGGCTTCATAGTCAGCTGACGAAGGGGAAAGAGCACCGGCCACATCCTGTGGGTGTTGGAGGCCGATCAGCCTGGGAGAGCCTCTCAGGGTCAGGAGCGGCAGGCTTGAGTGCTTGGGTAAGCGTGCGATGTGATGATATTTGAGTTGTGGCTCATTCTGGCTTCAGGACTGAAAGCAGACGGATGTGGGGAAGTGGGATGGGCCTGGATGGGGGCATTAACTGGAAAAGAGAAAGGGCATAGACGGCAGAGGTGGGAGTTAGAAGTCACAGTGTGTGGTGATGGATTTGGGTTTTAGTTGGGGTCAGTGTCTCAGTGGATTTGGAGGAAGCAGAATTTGGTTTGGATGTGTTATGTTTTCAGTATCTTTGTGCATCTCATGAGCAGAGGGCAGGGGATGTGCCGCCGATGCTGGGGAGAGCAGGCCAGGCAGAGAACGAAGCAGATGCACCTGAGTCATTGTTTAAGCCATAAAAGTGGATGAAATTATCAAGGAAGAGTATAAGTGGAGGAGAGACAGTAGTGTAGTCGATCAAAAGTCTGAATTTTGGAGTCAGACTACCTGGATTCGAGTCCCAAGTTTTCCACATAAGTAGCTCTAGGAGCCTGGACAAATACCTGAAGCTCTCTGTGCCTCTTCCTTATAAACTTCCAGGGTTGTTCCAAGGGCTGGATTGGTTGCTAAGTTTAGAGCACATGGAAAATATCAGTATGTATGTCAGTTACTGTCGTTGTTATGATTGCTATTAGATTTTCTTAAAAAGGACCTAGGACAGGGCCCTGGGGCTGCCCCAGATTCTGGTGGAGTGGCTGGGATGGGTACTAGCAGGGCCAGTAAGAGCCCAGAGGGGATAGTGCTGAGGTGAGAGGGGATGTGTGGAAGTGGGGGTCACTTGGAGTGCTAGGGTGAGCCAGGACAAGGGAACACATGCCTCAGTGCCACTTGGGGGGTCGTCTTGGTGTGTTGATGGATGAGGTTCCGTGGGGTCACTCAGGCAGAGTCCTGCTCTGGTGCTCTGGGAGGTGGCCTTAGTGGGAGACAGGGATGGTTTGTGCTGACACTTCTGCTAGAGGTGAGTGGGGAAAGGGGAAAGGTGGGAGTTGGCTGAGGAGGATGGGGCATTTGTTTCTGTAGAGCTCTGTTTCTTCCGGCAATTCTAGGCGTTGTGCTAGGAGAGAAAGGGGGCATTTCTCACGTGGTGTGTGAGGAGTACGTGGAGATGGAGCCGGAGCTGGTGGGAGGAGCCTAGAACCTTTTAGCTGGACTGAGAGTTTATCATTCTTGGGGTTGGGCAATAGTTGGGGCTGATGACACCATTTTTTCCCACTTTTGTGCATGTTTGAACTGTTCTACAACAAAAAATAAAAGGCAAACTTACCTTTTTTATAGTAACAGGAGTAGGAGAGGACAGGGCCACAGACGGGAGTGTGTCTGAGGGCAGGTGCTGGGTGGCACCGTGGCAGTCTTGGGGGTGTGTGTGCTGAGGCCTGTGTCTCGTGTGTTGCTAAGCCTCGTGCTCACCTGGCTGTCCACCTGAGCGCCTGGCTGTTCTCTGAATGCAGCTTTGCAGACAGATCTGTCAGCGATGGCCCCTTCTGCCTGTCCCAGGATGCAGCTTAGATTTGTAAAGAATAAACACAGATCTCAATATATGGGCAGAATTTGGAAAAGCCAGCAGTTAGTACATGTGGAGAAATGATGGCACTCCTGGTTCTCACAGGAAATACTGCAAACTAAAATGAAATATATTTCTTTTTACCTTTGGAATTAGCAAATACTTTAAAAAGTGGAAATGCAGTGCTGGTAAGAGCGTGCAAGGATCCTGTTGTAGTGTGGCCCTGCCATCGGGAAGGCTGTAAACAGAAGATGTGCTCGGAGCCTCTGCTCTGTGACCTGTTTCTAGAGATCAGGAGACCCAGCTGGGAAAGGGCGTTCCAGGGTACCCTGTGTGCTGTGGTGAGCAGGGCATGTGTAGGAAACGGTGTACTTGCAGGGCAAGCCTGGGCCGTCGGACCATCTGCTGTGCTTCCCAGACGGTCTTAAATGAGCCTGACCTGGAAATGAGTTTGTAGCTGTATTAGAAAATGAAAAATATAGTTCAAGACCACATTCAGAGGCAGCCAAGGCTATTACTCATCTGGCCGTATCCTATCTTCATAGCCTCTTTCCTTGAAATATCTCTCCTTTACACTCTGTGCTCCAACAGTACCACCTCCCCATCCTGAGAAAGTGCTTCAGGTGTGTCGTTGCTCGCTTCATTTGCTTAGGCACATACAGATGGGCAGGTATGGCTTTATTGGGCCCTCAGCCCCTGTGAGGTAGGTGTCATTCCCATTTCACAGAACAGAAAAAGGAGACCTGCAAAAGGATAAATAACTTGTCTGAGGCCACACTGCGGAAAGAGGCTGAACTGGAGCTCAGGCTGGGGCGCCTGTGCTGTTGCCCTTCATGCCCCCATGCCTTGGCTGGGTAGCTCCTGTGACGGGAGTGCCCTCTGCTCTGCTGTGGGGTGGCTCAGTCACCTCAAATGCTGCATACTCTGGAGACCGCTTTTCTACCTTCTCAGGAGGTTTGCAGTGTCCTCTGCTGCTCGCAGGCTTCGTTGTTGGCCCTGACTTCATTCTGCCCTTTATCGCAGGAATTGGGTGTTATACTTGCCCCTATCGGGTCACAGGCCTTTGGCCGCTAAGAGCTCCATGTCTCCTCCCTATGCCCGTGCGGAGCAGAGTTCCAGCTTAGTGGAAAACCAGTGCATGGAGGGAGGTGACTGTAGCTTTGTATGTATCTTGTTTTTCCCCTGATGCCTGTGTGCATTTCAGAGACATAAGTGGATTGGGCGTGTAAGCAAGGAGATTCCAGCTCTGGGCTCTAGGACACTCGCTCAGTCTCCGTGGGCATCAGTGTCTCAGTGAGAAAGTGAAAGGACTGGCTTTGGTGATCTGTTGAGATAGTTTCCAGATCTAAATGTCATCCTTTTTTATGGTAATAGCTTAATCGAGATGATTAGACTAATTTTTTTTGCAACCGAATGCTTAAGCAGTTAATACTTAATTTGACTTAATCTTCTCGACATCCCCATGTAGTGGGTGAAGAAATAGGCACAGAGGTTGCTTAGATATAGCTGAGGTAGGACTTAAAATCTCCCTGTGGGTTTAACTGTTATCTCTTACTCTTTGAAAACTGTTTGCATGTGACTTGAATTGCTCATGATGCTACTCCTAGAGGTGCTTGGTCTCTGTCCTTGCTGATGGCCAGGGTGCGAAGTGCAGGTCTGGTGGTTCGGATCTGTTGAGGAAGTGTCATTTGTTCCTGGTTCCTTGGTGATCCTCAGTTTTCACGCTCACTACTCTTTTTGTTCCAGGGTGTTGTGCGAGGTTCTCCGCTCGTAGCAGTCTGTACATTCACTCTAAGAAACACGTGCAAGACGTGGGTGCTCCGAAAAGCCGTTGCCCAGTCTCTACCTGCAACAGACTCTTCACCTCCAAGCACAGCATGAAGGCGCACATGGTCCGACAGCACAGCCGGCGCCAAGGTCTGCACTTGTCATGGCCCCTGTGGGGAGCTGCTTGCCAGCGGGAAACGGGAATAGTGCCAGTGCCATTCGTTCTTTCTTCACCTCTTGGAAGGCGTCGGGCAGTGGGGTTGTGGGCATGGCTGCCAAGCCACGTGGCCTCTTTTGTACTCTCTCTGCCACTTTCTTGCCTTTGACCCTCTAATCTCTCCCATGTCTTCTGTGTTTTGAGACGATCCCCTTCTCTCACTCAGACTGGAGTGCAGTGGCATCATTATGGCTCACTGCAGCCTCAGTTGCCTGCTTAAGTGATCCTCCCACCTCAGTCTCCGGAGTAGCTGAGCCCACAGGCATGCACCACCACAGCCAGCTAATTTTTGCATTTTTTAAAAATAGAGACAGAGTTTCACTATGTTGCCCAGGCTGGTTTTGAACTGCTGGGCTCAAACCATCTGCCCACCTCAGCCTCCTGAAGTGCTGGGATCACAGGCATTAGCCACTGTGCTCGGCCTCTCCCATGTCTTTGAAGTGCTCTCCTGGAAGAATGTTTCACTTTGTTGACTTTCCCTAGCATATGTCCCCTAAGTCTGTGTCTCCCAGTAGGACTTTTGTCTGTAATTCTGACCCTGTCCCTCCTGCATTTCTGTCTGCCTCAGCTCTTCTCTCTCCAACTAACAAAGGCCAGAGCAGAGTTGTGTTTCAGGAATGGGCTGGGAGGAGCAAGGGCTGGAGAGGACAGAGTTAGAGGGGAAAGTGATGGTGGCCTGGCAACCTGTGAGGTGAATGCTGAACGTGTGACTGCCTGGTCATTGGGCATCTTTGTGGCATGGGACTTGGAAACCTACCCCACTAGGCCTTCTCCACAGTCCAGGATGTAGAAATGCCTGGCATTTGTGGTGGCAGCCCCTCCAGGGAGCATGTCCATGTGCCCTGCTCTCTGGGGCATTGTGTGGTGGTCACTAGGCCTAGCTGATGGCATCCTAGCTAGCTGTAGAGTTACTTCTGCTGCTCAGTCCGTAGAGGCTGTGTGTGTCACCAACTGGGTCCTCCTCACATCACCCGTGTAACCGGCAGCACCACAGCAGAGCACTGGCCTGTGGTGCCTCTGTGTCCCAGCTGCTGCCCTGGCAGGGGACAGGCCTCAGTGCCTCACACAGAGGGGTTGGGCTCAGGGCAGGTTTGTGACCTTTGTTTTCTTGTGATCCTTTTTAGAAGTGGTCATGAAGCCCCTCCTTGGGATCTAGAATGCTGATCTTTCACAGTTTACAGCAGCTGCCATTCTGCTTTGTATTGAAAGAAATTGCCCTCTGGCTTCAGCAGTGTCTTGAGGACAGGGAATGTGTGTGCTACCTGATTCATGTTGGCAGGTGTCACCTTTGCTCACAGAGGCCCTTTGACCGGGCCCCCCCCCTCTCTCAGCGCTCTGTGAGACAACGTTACTCAGGCCTCTCCCCTGTTTGGCTGTTCCCTCTTGTGGCACACCTCCCTTTTCCTGATCTGGCCAGTTCAGAAGTCAGCAGAGACCCAAGGTTATACCAGATGTGCTTCCTTAAACTCTGGTAGGATGTGAGACCCTCTTCTGTAGCAGCCTGTGTATCCCAGGCTTGAATTTCTCCTGCAGTAATGACTTATGTATGTGTCATTCCCCTGCCAGCTATCAGTGGTAGAAGACCACGTGTCACCATTTGGCCTAGTGAAAAACAGGCCCTCGAGAACGCCCAGTTAACTGTGGGATTACGTCACGCCCTTGATGGGTTGTTTCAGTCCCCATAACGGTGGTCCTGGGAGTGGGGTCCTCATTGCTTTGTCTCTGATTAAACCAAGATAGAAAGGACTTGCCAGGGTCATACCTGCAGGAAGGGCTGGGGCTGGGCTTTGAACTGTGGTGATCATGACTGTTTTGTTAGATGCTCTGCTAACTATTGTTTATTTAGTGATTGTGTTAATATCTGGCCCTTGTACATGTCTGGTCTCTAGTAGTAAATGTTTATAGAATTAGTAAAGTGTAAAATAGGAAATTTATTAATAAATGGATATCATTTGCACTGAGATTATTCATGTTCTCTTCACAGGGAGCTGAGTCCTTAAGAGAGTCAAGGGAATTTTTAGAAAGTTTTGAAAAATTGACATGGTTTTCCATTTTAAATTTCGCCAAAGGATCACTACCGTTTTCTTTCAAAATGCTTCATTGGTACAAAGGGATATTTATTGAAGAAGTGATACTATATTGATGCTTTTTTTTAAGCTTTACAGTAATATGACAACTAAAAAGATACATCCTGAATTTGATTTTCTTTTTGTCTAGAATAGATTTTTTTTGTAGATTTGCATTATAAAATATAATAGACACTCTGACCAACACAGCCTGCAGGTATGAGTTTGGGGTCAGTAACAGCTAGTGTGGGAGAAATAGGACCAGAGAACTGAGAGCAACTTTTCCTCTGGGCCAGGTGCTGCCACAGTCAGGAAGCTGCCAGGACAGTCCTTAGGAAAGGATGACACCAAGTCTTTATTTGGCTCTTTTGCCCAAATTCATTATGCTCTCATTTTACTGTTGGCTTGATGCTTGAAGCATCCTGTGATTTGGTGTAATTGTCATGTACTTGTATACAAACCTTAAACTTGCCTGTGCGTTGAAATTGTTTGGAAGCCATTATTCTCCCAAAGGTATGCTGATTATTTAAATTACTTAGTTGAATAACAATCAAATATTTAAAGTGCATTATGACCAAAAGTTAAGACTCCAGATGAAGAAGGGCCTGTTAGAATCATTACATGCTGCATCAGGGCTGGGCATTGTGATGGGGGCTGAAAGGACAGAGGTGGGCAGATGGGCTTGCCACCCTCAGGAGGCATGCAGTCCTGATGGGGAAATATCCCTTTGTACCAATGAAGCCCTGGGAGGGAAAACTCATGAGGAAAAGCGCTGTCTAGGGGGCCCCCAGCTTGCCTGGAGGTCCTGATGTCCGAGTTCTATGCATCGCCTAGACTGGAACTTCGGGCCTGTCCAGGCTTTTCCAGGCAGCCAAAATTGTCTTTGTTCACCCCTATATAGCTGGAGTTGGTTTTGCAGTGGCAACTGGTTGTGGAGCAGAGAGTTTAGCAAACGTGAGCTGACAAGCTAATTCCAAAAATATTCTCAGAGCACAGGCCAGCTAGTAACTGGCAGCTGAGGATGATGTGCTGTGGAAAGGTTTGGTCCTCTCAGGCAGCTCCCATGGCACCGGGAGGGGAGAGGGCACAGGCGTTGATGCCAGTAAGACGTGGATGCAAATCTTACCTTGCTTCTTGCTGTTAGCAGTTGGCCTGACCTTAGGAAATGTTATTTAATCTCTCTCCAGTTGTTTCCCCTGGAAAAAGCCCTGTCAGCCTGAGGATCCGAGACACGTACGTAAAGTGTCTGACGTCAGCCAGCGTCCCTTCCTATCCCTTCCTGGGGTGTGTGTCAGTTGCCCTGAGTGACAACCAAGCTTCAGGGTGTGGGAACAGGACAGTCAATGCTTCCTTGGGACATCATTTGGTAACATCATGGACATAAATAAAAGTACTCAGTCTTCGAGGTCATAAAGTAACCAGAGTGTATTCCTTCTTTTTTCAGATCTCTTACCTCAGCTAGAAGCTCCAAGTTCTCTTACTCCCAGCAATGAACTCGGCAGCCCAGGTCAAAGCGAGCTCACTAACATGGATCTTGCTGCGCTCTTCTCTGACACACCTGCCAATGCTAGCGGTTCTGCAGGTGGGTCAGACGAGGCTCTGAACTCCGGAATCCTGACTATTGACGTCACTTCTGTGAGCTCCTCTCTGGGAGGGAACCTCCCTGCTAATAATAATAGCTCCCTAGGGCCGATGGAACCCCTGGTCCTGGTGGCCCACAGCGATATTCCCCCAAGCCTGGATAGCCCTCTGGTTCTTGGGACAGCAGCCTCGGTTCTGCAGCAGGGCAGCTTCAGTGTGGATGATGTGCAGACTGTGAGTACAGGAGCGTTAGGCTGTCTGGTGGCTCTGCCCATGAAGAACTTGAGTGAAGACCCACTGGCTTTGACGTCCAGTAGTAACTTAGCAGCACACATCACCACACCGACCTCTTCAAGTACCCCCCGAGAAAATGCCAGTGTCCCGGAACTGCTGGCTCCCATCAAGGTGGAGCCAGACTCGCCTCCTCACCCCAAGACAGTTGGGCAGCAGGAAGGAAGCCATGGGCCACCCCGGCCCACGTTGTCCAGCCCAGCAGAGCAGCATGGTGCCCAGGACACAGAGCTCAGTGCAGGCACCAGCAACCTCTATTTGGTATGAAGCACTCTGTTCAGTTACCACCATACAGGTCACTTCTCTCATACTCAGTCTCGAGGATATTCTGGATTAATCCTTTCTATGCAGACATTTCTGGTTTACAAAAGGATGCAGCCCTGGACTACAAGTCTGGAACTGACAAGTTCTTATGACCTTGACAAATCACTTTAACCCATCTGAGCCTTAAATTCTCATTTATTTCCTGCATCAGGGGGTTTGGCTAAATGCTTTCTGAGGTCCTTTGGAGTCCTCTGGCTCCATGGTAATGTGCTCCTTTCCTTGAAGATTGGGGGTTTTGTAATGTTGAGATGCTTTGCCTCTGTGCTTCTCAGCTCATGACCAGTCCTAGAAGAGGAGTCGAGACATAAGCCACCTTCAGAGGTTCAGTGGAAACTTTAAAACCATACCAAACTCTTTTAAAATGAGAATTAACAAGAAAAGAGAAAAAAGGGAGGGGTTTATGAGCCTTAGTTCTTGAAGGATTATAGGAGTACTTCTCCAATTTTGAGGCTGGACAGTTAATATACTTTATATCAATTATACATTTAATATAATTTAATTTAATTTAAAGATTCTTGAGATAGTCTGACTTTCCTGTTTCAGATGGGAATGGTCAAATAGGGCTTTTTTGTGGCACAGGCTAAATTTGATGGTGACATTTATATTGTTCAGAATGTTACATCTTAAATTTTGCCACAACTTTTAAAAAATGTTAAATCTTTTAAAGTAGGTTGAGTTTGGAGGCACATAGTAGCTGAGGTTGCATGGAGCCTGCTTTCATTTCTTTCAGTCGGAGAGAAGGACGATCTCTGTCTCTGCATTTCTGGTGTCTTGCTTGTTGGTGGCAGAGCCATGCTTGCCAGAGTTTGCTTAGGCAGCCATAGCAGTTGCTAAGTGGACAGGTGACTGGGCAGCGATGGGAGGTGGCCTCAGGTCAGACACAATTGGGTAGTCAGTCCCTGGGGTGCGAGGACTGTGCCTTGGTGCCTTGGGAAACAGAAGCTCTCTGATGCAGCTGTAGCTGTGGGTGGAGGTGGAGAGGCCGGCAAGACCTTGGTCCTAACCCCGTGTTCATTTTCTTGCTAGCTGTGTGACGGGCTACCTCGCATCTCTGAGTACAAATGGTGTGTGGTGAATGGGTCCCAGGTATGCTACGAGCTTTGAGGGCTGCCCTTTTTCTCTTCATAGTGATAAGTGTTAAACTGTCTTTCTTAGGAAATGTTCACAGACTTAAAACAGCTGAAGTCCTCTGAGTACTGTCTGCCTCCCTCAGGAAAGTTCCTGAAATCAGTACCATCATTACTGTTTTTGTGTAAGACCTTTAGAGTAGCCCATGCCGCCAGAGCAACCTCTGCAGTGGGTCTCTAAGGTGGGACCTGCCCTGGGCCTGCCATGCACACCTGTGGCACAGTGTGAAAAGTGTCACGGAGTGCCGTGGTAAGGCGATCACAGGTCACCCAGGCAAGGCTCGGTGCTTGTTTCAGAAACAGAGAAGTATGTAATTGATTTTATAAGTTTCTGTGTAAAACATTTTACTGTGTTTTAGGCTTTGGAGGAATAAACTTTGCTTCTCTGAATAAGAAAGTCACATACATTGTTCCAGCTCCAAGTTTGCTCAGCTCTCACCATAAGTGGACATAGCGTTTGGCTCTTTGTGTGCCTTGCTGGCAACTCTGGTTATGGGAGCTTGGATATGTCCCAGAAGCAGACTATGGCACTTTTCTAGCTCCCTTGCTACCCTTCCTTTGTGTCTAGATAAGTGACTGATACGCTTTTCTTTGGTCTCAGGAAAGTGGGGGCTCAGCAAGAACTGATTACCGAGCCATTCAACTAGCCAAGGAAAAAAAGCAGAGAGGAGCGGGGAGCAATGCAGGTGAGGCCGTGTGTGCTGCAGCCCGGACGAGTGAGGGCCTGAGGGTTCTCTGTCACTGTTACGGGCAGAAGAAACACACAGCAGGTGTTTCTGTACCCTTGGTTTTACTTTTCTGTTCAGAATACCCTTTTATCAACTCCTTAGTTTTATTTGAACTTACGGAAAATATTAGTAACAAAACTCCCAGCATTAGTATGAACATATTTTATTTGCCTAAACAAGCTTTATGAAAGTTAAGGTTTCAAACACAAGTGTCAGTTATCTGGAAAGCTACTAAGGTAAATAAGCAAAGCAGGCCAGGTATCAGGAAAGCAGAGATTGTGCCTGGTGCTGAATGGCCTTGGGGCCTGAACTTGGCATGGTGGAGACCTGGGGACCGCCACTGTCCCCGGGTACATGTACGTGGAGCCGAACTGTGTGTCCTGTGGCACTGTCAGAGTTATGTTGAAATCTTACTTGAAAATGTTAGCAACTTATTTGAATTTTTGAAGACCAAACAAGAGCTGGCAATCTATGGCTTCATGAATCTGTCCTTCCTGAAAATGGAATAGTGTGATGTAGTGCTTAGTGGAAACTGGTAAATCTTTTTCTAAAAAGTAACAGTGGATTTTTAAAATGTATTTTTTGTGTGTATTTCATTTGTCCTCTGTATTTATCTAAAAGGGTTGGTGATATGATTTTATATCTTGCTCTCTATTCCTAATAGTATCATGACTTCTTATTTAAAATAAATAACAATTGCTGATTTTCTATCAGTTTTCTTAAAGCCAGTGTTTCCCTATAATGTTGTATGCGTCAGTGTGGATTGTGACTTAGGAAGGGATGCCTCCACAGTTCATGAAGTACCTGAATGGAACTTGCAGAGATAATAGAAGGTAGTGTGGTAAAATCTGTGGGAAGAGTTCACCATATACCAAGTAAAGTTCATGAAGGAAACCAGATACCTTTATTGAACCTGGTAGATAATCTTGAACTTAAAGGAAAAAGAGACAAACATTCAGGTACATAACACATGACCTATTTATTGCATTGCTTTGGAATACTATCTATAAAGGAGGTTTGATGTTTTCATTACTGTTTTTGTAAATATTTCAGCATTATCTTTAAAAAGTAAGGACATTGGCTGCGTGCCATGGCTCATGCCTGTAATCCTAGCACAGGGAGGCCGATGAGGGTGGATCACCTGAGGTCAGGAGTTGGACACCAGCCTGGTCAACATGGCAAAACCCTGTTTCCACTAAAAACACACAAAAAAATTAGCCGGGCGTGGTGGCGCATGCCTGTAATCCTAGCTACTATAGAGGCTGAGGCAGGAGAATCGCTTGAACCTGGGAGGCGGAGGTTGCAGTGAACCAAGATTGCCACTGCACTCCAGCCTGGGTGATAGAGCGAAACTCCCATCTCAAAAAAATAAAAAGACATTAAAAACAGTATGTGCTAACACATACTGTTACCACTTGTTTAAAAATTAACAGTATTTTCTTAATGTCAGTATCTAGCAAATGTTCAAATTTTCAGTTGTCCCAGATGCCTCAAATGTTTTGTGTAACTGTCTCTTGGAATTAGAATCCATGTGGGGTTCATATGTCACTACTTGTTGATACATCATCTCTTGAGTCTGTATGACAGCTGTAGTCTTCTCTACTATCTCTTGCCTGATTTTTGTTGAAGAAACTGATTGTCCTTTCAAGTATGCCAGTCTGGACTTTAGTGGTCACATCACTGTTACAACAGGTTCCTCCTTTTTTTTTAATTTCCTGTAAATTAGTAGTTATATCTAGCGGTTAGATCTGGTTGGTTGGTTGGTAAAACTCTGCTGCAGGTTGGGGTGGACTCTTGCAGGAGGCCCCCACCCTCTGGTAGGCCGTTTTCTGTACTGCTGGCAACCATTGTGCCCAGAGACTGGATCCACCTCTTATTCCTTAGGGGTTAATCTAAACGGTGGTACTCTAAATCTTTCCTTCCTTTCTTTCTTATAGCTGGGGCACATCTATAAAGAGCAGCTTCTCATTTCTTACCCTGAGGTGCAGTTCACAATGTTCAAATCTGTGTCAGTTTCTTCCAGTGATGGTAAGAGTATTTTAATGCACTCATTGATTTAAATACTCCATAGACTTCTAAGGGAAATGGAAACCTGGTATCTCCTAGGTCTCCGTGTGTGAATGCAGCAGGAGAATGTCCTCATGAGGGAGTGAGGCTGCTGCCACTGCCACCCACATCCTTGAAAAGCCCCTCCGGATGCCTCAGCCAGTGGAAGAAGCCCACCGTCTATTTTCCAAAACATGCAGGGCACCTGTGTCTTCCTGCACCCATGTGTCTGCTGTGGTTTTAGACATCCATGTGTGGTGCTTCTTTGTGTGCGCTGTCATGGCCTTTTATCCTCCCGCCGGAACCCCTTTGCTTGCCTCCCCTCGAAGCAGCATCCTGTATACTCATGCTGCATTTATCACAGCTGAGAGCCCCCTGTGGCTGCAGTCCTGGGAGCTAAATGGCAGACTTGATGTAGATGTGACCAGGTTCCCTTAGTGCTCTTCTCTGTTCCAAGCCCCATGTGCATTTAATTGTCACCCCTCCCCATCTGCTCTGGTTTGGGTGAGGGCCTTGGCCCTCCCTTGCCTGTGATGATGATTTCAAAGAGGTTGGGCCCCTCGCTCTGGACTGTCCTCCCTGTGGGCCTGCCTAATGCCTTCTGGAGATGAGACTGGGGCTGGGGTTGCTGGAGATGGGGATGAGGTGCCCACCTTCTCTGGGCTATGCTGTCTATACGGTGGGTGTGTTAACCTGGATCACTAGTTGGGGTGGTAGCTGCTAGGTTTCTTCACCATCAACTTCTTGTTTTTCCCTTTGTAATTAATAACTGTTTGTCTTACAGTAGATGCTTTGAGACTATATGCAGAGCTTGGGGGTCCCTAAGACCACCTTCACTTCTGATACCAGCTGCAAGCTTGGGGTTCCTCAAGACCACCCTTAGGTAATTCTCTAGAAGGACTCACGGAGCTCACTGATAGCTGTTGTCCTCACTGCTAAGGATTATTTGCAGTGGAAGGACACAGATTAAAGCCAGCCACGAGAAAAGAGGCCCAGGCAGAGCCCATGAGAGTTCCCAGCGTGACACTTCAAGTGTCCTACCGTGGAGGTGTGAACAGTGCAGCTTCTCCCAGCATGTGACAGCACACACACCACTGACCCCCAGGGAAGCCCACCTGAGACTCGCTATCTGGAGTTTTATTGGGTCTCAGCTGTGTAGACTGGCTGGCCTTAGTCTCTAGCCCTCCAGTGACTAAGCTGGCACTGTGTGCCTGAGGCCTCCACCACAGGGTTAGCACAGACTGTGGAAGTGGCCCAGGGCACCCAGTTAGACAGAGCAGGATATCCCAAGGGCCTAGAGATCTCTCAGGAGCCAGGGGCAGAGGCCAGGCCTCTTTGGACAGGGTTAATCCTTTGCCTTGCACTGCAAGTACCCCGTTTCTCTTTAAGCTTTCCTCTCATGTAATACTCAGCAGGGGCTTTTGCCTGTGAGGTTCTAATGGTGATTTTCCATTTCCCTTATTTTTGCACACTTACTAATTAGAATTTTGTAAGGAACAGCTGTCTCTTCTCTCCCATTTACTTATTCATTCAGTTATGCAGTATGGATTGAATGATATTGATTCTTTAGGGTATAGTTAATATTGGATTATGATCAATATTATCACAATTTATTTCGTTGCTCCAGTTGTTCTAGTTGCAGCCAATCCTTCGGTTGGATTCCTATGCCCCATCAACATTCCCCATCCCGGCTTTTTGTTTTGAGCACTTCCTTCCTTCCAGGCTCTTGTATTATCCCTGCCCTGGAACCAACTCCTCCTCCAAAGAGCCCTGGTTTCTTTTGTTGGAGGATTTAGAATTCAACATATAGACACTAGGTGGGCTTATTGCTACTAGGGCGTTGTTACACTAGCGTCTCAGTGGTCAGTGCTATTTTCATGAATGTTAACCCACGCTGTGTTTTGAATTCAGGATATTTCAAATTTTAGTTAATACGGTACATGTATTATGTATTAATACCACTAATCACTACATTGGTTCTTTTCCGCAAATATATCTAAGTGGGATCAAATAAGACTATAAATAGCTTCACATCAGTTCAGGTCAGTTATGTTGCTAAACTATTTTTGGCATTAAGTCTAGGGAAAAAAATTGGGTTTGGGGCTTTTTGGGTTTCAAGATTTGTGATTGAGAGACTGTGGACCTATGATAAATCCAAGAACAGAGCAGTTGCAGTGTAACAGGACTATTAATGGAATTGGGTCATTTAAAGACAGTCAAGACTCTGCTGTTGTGAATGTGGTTAGGAGCCAGTGCACTCGTTAGTTCTTGGGAAACATGCAGTCTGAGCAATAGCATCTGAAATCCAAGACTGTCCCATTGTGTTGCTGTTGAGTGTAGAAAATGTAGTGTGCCAGTCCCTTTATCTTGAGTATTGAGGTTCTCCCCTTAGCATAGAACTATAATTTTTCTCTCCGTGTAAAAATGAGACTAATGGCAAAGTTAAGTTTAAGCATAAACAGCTTCAGAACTATAAATGGGTGTGTATACCTTTCTGCTGTCTAAGGGCAGAGAAGGGAAAGAAAGTGTGGTGCTTATCAGAGGAGACAGCAGCAAGAACATGGTGCCAGAAAACCAAGGGTATTCTGTGTCACAGTGAAATGTAATGAGGGCAACTGTCCTGCCAAAAGACAAGATTGAATACATTGAAGCACACTCTTCTGCTGTGTTGTCTAGGAGAGGTGCATCCTGAATGGAAATATTTGGGAAGGTTAAAATTAAGATAGCATAAAATAAACGGAAATCGCAAAGCAAGGGTTAACGTTAACATGAAAAATGTAGAATTCAGGGAAAAAGCATGGGACAAAGAAGATTTTTCCTTTTTGGCTGCTGTACATGTGTAGCCTGCAGCAGAACTGAGAGACCCACAAACATATATATGAATATTGATTTGAAAACTTACAGTATTAATATAATGTAAAAACTGATAGAAATCTAAGATAATTGAATGTGTAGAAACTAGCATTTTGAAAATGATTAGTTCATTATTCGTTGATCGAGCAGAATAAAAAGGCATATGAAAGATGTTTATAATGGAATTAGTAGTGTTGATTTAATAAATCCTACTCCATGTCCATTAAATATTTGTTGAAATTAAATGGAACAAATTAGGGCATTAGGAAACCTATTCAAAAATTTTCTCTCTCTCTCTCTCTCTCTCTCTCTCTCTCTCTCTCTCCATATAGATATTCCTGATAAACATATATATAGTTAGTACTGTGTTTTCTGATACAGTACTGCCAATATATTATGATATGCCTTATGTTATATATATTAAATTAGTAAAAATTAATTGGAAAAAAAAAGAAAACCTCCCAGTTGGGTGAAAGAAGAAGTAAAAGCAAGGTCACCTGCAGTGGCCCATTCCTGTAATCCCAGCACTTTGGGATGCTGAGGCGGGCAGATCACCTGAGGTCAGGGGTTCAAGACCAGCCTGATCAACATGGTGAAACCCCATCTCTACTAAAAATATAAAATTAGCCAGGTGTGGTAACATGTTTGTAATCCCAGCTGCTCAGGAGGCTGAGGCAGGAGAATTGCTTGAACCTGGGACACGGAGATTGCAGTGAGCCAAGATCACACCATTGCATTCCAGCCTGGGCAACAAGAGCAAAAATCCATCTCAAAAATAAATAAATAAAAGAAATAAAAGCTAATTACAAA